CCCCCCCCCCCCCCTGAAATAGATGGACCTCGCAAAAAATTAACAAAAGCGAAGGTCTTCTTGCAATCTCACTTAAATTTCTCACTAACGATGGACCTTGTGGTAAAACATGGAATGGATTGATCAAAATTATTATGGATCAGTAAAATACCGATCCAGTCTAACTATCTCCTATCCAGTCCAGTCCAGTCCAGTCCAGTCCAGTGTATTTTTCCTGACAATCGTTGTTAAGTACTAAGGACGAGTGGGACCTGGAAACAAAGTTGTTGTGTTTTGAAGAGTTTTATACAGAGCATGGAATAGAAGGAAATGCATTTCAGAGGCAAAAGAAATTCTTCAGCTGGGTACAATATTATCTTGTTACAATACAGGATTTAAAAAGACTTTTAGTTAGTGCTATTATGGTTCCACGATCTTGAAATTGAAGAGTTTTCGAGTTTTGCCTACCGCTAATAGGGTGATCTTTGCGAATGCCAGGACAAGCTTGTTTTAATTTAGCAAGTCTAAGGGACATAAAGCTTTACAAATTGTGGCAATTTACGTGGCAAACCTGAGTGGAATACGAACTCGCTGTGATTACCAGTTTAAGGTAAGAATTGGATTATTTTAAAGAATACACAAAGTGTATTTGTCCTTAGAAAACACAATATAGGGGGTTTAACTTGTTTGCATGACAACTCTCACGACACCGAATGATGACCTGTGTCAATTAATATCCAGAAGTGATACACACACTGTCTGGGTTTGCATTGTACATCAGCAAGTTTGTTTTCTGTCTGTAATTTCATCGATATCTGAGTTGGTTGTCTCAACAAAAAGTAAATGACCTCCGGTTGTCAGCTTTTAATGCAAAGCACGACCACTCCTCGCGAATAGACCTTGGCACGGTTTTCGACGCCATCTTGACGAGTAGGCAAACCTGTGAGAAATTACAGTGTTTGTATGAGAATCTAATGTCGAATAATTTCCGTAAAACGGCTGTTCTCAAAAAAATATCAATTGTAAACTAAAACTACAACGCAAAGGATTGTCTTAAAAAAATTTAGGGGGCGTAACTGTGCGTAGATTTCTCCAGAGGCTTGCTTTAGATTTTCCATATATTTGTCTGTAATTTTCCCGGGACTTTCTTACAGACAAATGTATAGAAAATTTTAAAAAGTGGTTCTAGGTCTCCTCGTGCATGTAACGCCTTCATTTTTTTTCAGTAGAATTCTTAGGAGAGAAGCTTTAGTTTACAAATCATATTTTTGTCAGAACAGCCGTTCTGCTGAAATTATTCGACATTAGATTCTCATACAAACACTGTAATTTTTCACGCATTTGCCTACTTGTCGAGATGGCGTATAGTACACAGTGGCGAGGGGATATGAGTTTTATGTTGGAGTGACGAGAGCTAGAAAATGGTGTCTTACATCTAATATCTAATTTTCAATATTATGGACAATAAGAAATAATGTACTTGTTAGAGATTGAAAACCTGTGTTTCACACAGACACTGCTATTAATTTCCACAAATTAAATGTTTAGTAAAAAATTACAAAATATTATCATGGAACTTCTTATTATAAAGGGCAGAGAACTGTCATTTTCTCAGATGTAACCTGCTTTACTTTGAACAAAAACTCTGACAGATGATCAGCCCATAAATTCTCCCTCACAACAAAATATGTGAATTTTTTTTTATTGTTAAGGGATAGTAATATCTAGCTACTTCTCTCTCATTTAATCTTTTGAAAAATCCTGGAAGTCTTCATATCATTGGAATTGATCGTTAGGGAGACAGTGTGGCCGAGTGGTTTAGAGCACTGGACTTGCAATTTAGTGGCCTCAAGTTCAAGTCTCACTTTGAACACTAGCTGGAATTGTTGACAGTAGTCCCGAGTCCAAATCCTCGGCCATGCTTGTAAATGTCCAGCTCAGGTCTCCCTCTGGCCAGCCACTGACTTATAAGCCCCCCACCCCCCCAGTTATAGGTTTATCTTCCTGTAAACAAAGAATACTTCTGATCATAAGCCCCTGGAAGTAAGCCCACTTTTGCTTCAATTATAAGCCCCCTCGGATATAAGATTCTCCGCTTATAGGATCCCCATCCCCCAGTTATAGGCCCATCTTCCTGTAAACAAAAAGTACATCCGGTTATAATCCCCTGGATGTAAGCTCCCTTTTGCTCCAATTATAAGCCCTCTAACCAAAAAAAAATCGATTATAAACCCCCCGACGTAAGCCCACTTTTGCTCTAATTAGGAGCCCCAGTTATAAGCCCCCTAGGATATCAGATCCTCCGCTTATAAGCACTGCACCCCCCAGTCATAAGCCCATCTACCTGCAAACAAAAAAATTAATACATCTGATTATAAGCCCCCTGGATGTAAGCCTCCTTTTGGTTCATTATTATGAGCCCCCAGTAATAAGCCCCCTCGAATATAACATTCTTTGCTAATACCCCCCCCCCTGCCTCCCCCCCAGCTATAAGCCCATCTACCTGTAAACCAAAAATACACCCAATTATATGCCCTCAAGATGCAAGCCCCCCTCTACCTTGTGTTGAAATTGAGTTTTATTTCTTGTGATGTTTTGAAGCTTACTGTGAATCACACAAAACCGTGAACACCAGAAATATTCATGGAATGTTATTGTGTTGCGAGAAATTAGCCAATAAGGCGCGAGATAACTAAACTGTAAACAGCAATGGTAATTAGTTTGTGGTTTTGAGGTTTGCTTGCGTATCCTGAACTTTATTGTAATTGGCCAGTACACAATCAACACTCCTGAAATTTTTCAGGTGTTCACGGTTTGTCTGAGTTTGGCGGTAATTTAAAACCAGTAAATGCAAAACATATTTTGATCAACACTGCTATAACTTGTTTTGAAGCACTTTTTCTATTGTGTTTATAAGCCCTTCCATTTATACGCCCTCCCAAAACCCCTTACGAAGATGTACATTGTATATACCCAGGGCTTATAAGTGACATTTTACAGAATAACCCTCCACTGGTGGAGGGCTGTCTAGTTACATGTATCAGGGGAAGGGTTCACACTGGTCTATAGCCCTCCACTGGAGGAGGGCTGTCTAGTTACATGTACCTTGGGAAGGGTTCACACTGGGCTATCTCACTTAAGGGAAGTCTGGGTAGAGTTGTACTGTCAAGGCCTTGAAACCATGTCTAAGACAAAATTCATTTTGCTACCCTGTTTAAGACAAGAGTCTCTATTTCATGACTTTAATTCATTTTGTTTTACGTACAAAACTAAGTAATTTTCGAAACTGACATCATGGAAACTTACTACATTATAGTCACTCTATGAAAGACACCCTGTTCAAGGCAATAAATTGTGAAATTGTATTTAACCTTTTTAAGACTCAACACCCTGTAAACCATACCCCAACTGGCGGCACATACCCATTTAGGTCAAATATATGTAAAGGAAAGGCCCCACCCCAACCCTCCAACCCCCGATACCTTATCCTACATCAAGAGTCCGGTCATGTTAGTATTTTTGATCATAGTTAGTAGATGAGATTGGTTAGGAAACCCAGCCATCATCAAAGTTGAAAACAATGTTGCTGTAGGTTATGTTGGAAGCTCCCTCACGGCCTGACCATGCACAATCCTTTGTTTTCTGTTCATAAATTATGACTGAATAAATTAATGCAATGTTCCTATTGGCCAATAACTTCAAAATGATAGGAATGCTATTGAAATTTGTGCACGGTCAGGCCCCAAAAAGCTAACACAAACCTATAACAAAGGATTTCCCAACCATTCCACTTTAATTAACTATGTTTTGATCCACAGTCATAAATTTCTACAGGAGTGAAGGCATTAACATTATTTAGAACCCTAAAGCAAGAAGATTTGAATTAAGGTAAATATGAATATGAACGTTTTAAGGTAAATATGTTATAATATGTTTTGTTTATTGACACTGTATTTAGTTGTTTTGGGCCAGAGGCATGGTGGACTTTGTGTAAGTCTGGGGAAAAGTGCTTTCTTTCTTGAAAAATAACTTATGCTCCCAGTAAACAATAGTTTCATTGTTGACCAAGCATGATTTGGCCTTCGGCCTAATTGACTGGTAAAGATTTCTGGTGCCAAGAAAAAGGCCAATACACCAACTACTTAATTCTAACCCTTTAAGGTCCAATATCCGGGTACAAATTCTCCAGAGTGATCACAATACATTTCCTTAAAGTATTAGTGGAAAGAATATGATGATTGATCAAAGCATTTTCCCTTGGGTGATCATTTTATTACTTCTCTGATCTTATAACCTTTTTTCTTGATTATGAGTCAATAGTGTTGGGAGAAAATTGATGTTGATGACTCTTGGGACTAAAAGGGTTAATGCTCGTTTAAACCTGGTAATAGCTGGGAGATTCCTTATATGGAGTTGTCTTGTGTTTATTTTAAGGGCTGAAAAGGAAAATGGCGGGAAACGAAGATCAACAAACTAACGTAACTGACGGCGAAGAGGGCACCATGACAAGTGAGTACATGAATAAGCTTCATAATGAACGTATGCAAAGGCAAAGGAATCTCGCCGAAACAGTCCTGTCACAGATGGAAAGCCAGTATAAAGCTTTCGGCGGAGAAAAGGAAAATCAGAAAAAATGGGAAGAGGCTGCAAAAATGATCGCTTATGCTCGTCAGAGGGAAAGAGAGGGAACGGAACAAGTGGAAAGCAAAAGAGAAAAGCTTTTAGAGGAGCAAAAAAAGTTAAAGGATCAATGGTTTCAAGAGGAGATGGAAAAGAAAAGACAGCTGGAACAACTACGCGAAGCAGAGAAAAACAAAGCGAAGGAGGAGGCAGAAAAACTTGCCGCTTTGGAGATGCAGAGAAAGCAGGAACTTGAAAATGCCAAACAAAAGGAAAGTCAAGAATTGTTCACGATGAAACAGGAATGGCAACTGCAGGAAGATGCGAGAAAAGCCGCAGAAGAACAGAGACGAATCGAAAAACAACAGCAGGTGGAACGAGAAAAGCTGAAGCACATGGAAGAAGAAAGTGACCGTGCCATGGCGGAGCACAAACGAAAACAGGAGGAACAAAAAAAGCAAGAAGCAGAGTGGATGAATTATGCGCAAGATCTCAAGAGAAAGCAAGAGGAAAAAGCAAGAATGGAGGCGGAGAAACAGAGAGTTTGGCAACAGGAAAAGCTGAAAGAAAACAGTGAAATTAACCAGTTTGTTGAAACAAGAAAAGCTGTGGAAGATCAGAAAAAGAAAGAATGGGAGAAAGAGAGGGATAAAACGGCCGAAGAAGCCCGCTTACTCGAGTCAGGGGTGCGACAGCAGTTTTTGGACAAGCAGGGGAAAGTCGTCTCAGAACTACTGCAGAACGAACTGGCAAGAGAAGAGGCGAGAAAAAGAGAGGAGGCGGAAATGAAGAGGAAACAAAGAGAAGAGAGGCGACAAGAGGAAGAGAGAAGAAAGTTAGAGCTTGAGGAACAGTTGTTAGCTAAAGAGAAAGAAAAACGGGAAAGGGAACAGAAGGTCAAAGAACTTGAATGGAGACGTTACCTTGATGGGATAAAGGAGAAAGAAGACGAGAAAGCGCAGAGAGACACAGCGAAACAAAAACGGATGGCGGAACAGAGAAAGGAGGATGAACAGAAAGCTGCAGAGATGGCGGAAGCACAGCGGCGTTCGAGGGAACAACGACGGAAAGAGGAAAATGAAGCCATGCAAATAGCTGAGAAACTGAGGTTAGAGCAAGAGCAGAGGAGGAAAGAACTGGAACAAGAACGAGAAGAAGCAAAGAGGAAGGTGTTGTTACAAGACAAAGAGAAGAGAGAACAGGAGGAGGCCAAACGGGAACTGGTCATGCGTAAACAAGAGGAGGAGGAGAGGCTAAGAGAGGAGAATAAAAAACACCAGGATATGGAAATGAAAAAACTTCTGGAGGTAAGGGACTGGTCATAAATTCGCGGGAGGGGAGGGGGCGTGGAAAGATTCAAAAGTTAGAGCTACCTCGCACAGCGTAATGAACTGTTCCACTGGAGAGTACTGGTTATCAGCTTATATTTGAATGATTACACCTTAGGATTTCGTACAGAAATTCAAAAGTTAGAACCACTTTGTACAGCACACCACACCACACCACGGGATAATACTGCACAGTAGCTTTCAAAGTTAGAATCACTTCGTGCAGCATATTTATAATAAACAGTACCACTTAAGCAATAGAAAACGTTTTCCGTGTTTGCATAGCCTGATATAATCACGAGAGGGGTTGGGAGAATTCGAGAAAGTTATGCAAACCCGAGACGAAGTCAAGGATTTGCATAACTGTCGAGAATTCTCCCAACGCCTCGAGTGTTTATATCAGGCTATGCAAACACAGGAAAAAAGTGTTCTATTGCTTTTATAAAATAACTTTCCCGAGAAAAAAAAAGAAAAAATCTTTGTATGGCATTGATTAAAAGAGAAATTCTTACCAGTCGCAAAATCTTGTCCACGAAGTCTTGCACGCGTAATCAGTTCTTGTTTTGCAAAAAGATGCTTTGCAAAATACGAGAAAGGGAACAGAAGGTCAAAGAACTTGAATGGAGACGTTACCTTGATGGGATAAAGGAGAAAGAAGACGAGAAAGCGCAGAGAGACACAGCGAAACAAAAACGGATGGCGGAACAGAGAAAGGAAGATGAACAGAAGGCTGCCGAGATGGCGGAAGCACAACGGCGTGCGAGGGAACAGCGACGGAAAGAGGAAAATGAAGCAATGCAAATAGCTGAGAAACTGAGGTTAGAGCAAGAGCAGAGGAGGAAAGAGCTGGAACAAGAGCGAGAAGAAGCAAAGAGGAAGGTGTTGTTACAAGAGAAAGAGAAGAAAGAACAGGAGGAGGCCAAACGCGAACTGGTCATGCGCAAACAAGAGGAGGAGGAGAGGCTAAGAGAAGAGAATAAAAAACACCAGGATATGGAAATGAAAAAACTTCTGGAGGTAAGGGACTGGTCATAAATTCGCGAACGGGGGAGGGGCGGAGGGGGCGTGGAAAGATTCAAAAGTTAGAGCTACCTCGTAGTAATGAACTGTTCCGATGGAGAGTACTGGTTATTAGCTCAGTTGTATTTGAATGATTACACCTTAGCATTTCGCCCACGAATTCTAAAGTTAGAACCACCTTGTACAGCGCACCACACCACAGGAGAATAGTACTCTGTAGCTTTCATTTGAATGGTCACACCATAGGATTTCATCCACAGTCTCAAAAGTTAAGACCACCTTGTACAGCATAATAAACAGTACCACAGGAAAGTACTGTTCAGTGACTTTCGTTTGAATGGTCACACCATAGGATTCCATCCATTGACTCAAAAGTTAGAATCACTTCGTGCAGCATATTTATAATAAACAGTACCACAGGAAAGTACTGCTCAGTAGCTTTCATTTGAATGGTCACACCACTGAATTTCATCCACAGACTCAAAAGTTGGAACCACCTTGTACAGCATAATAAACAGTACCACAGGAAAGAACTGCTCAGTAGCTTTCATTTGAATGGTCACACCATAGGATTTCATCCACAGACTCAGAAGTTAGAACCACCTTGTACAGTATAATAAACAGTACCACAGGAAAGTACTGCTCAGTAGCTTTCATTTGAATGGTCACACCATAGGATTTCATCCACAGACTCAAAAGTTAGAAACACTTTCTAGCATAATTATCAGTACCATAGGAAGAGGTTTCAGTTGAATAGTCGCACTCAAATTGCAATTATTTTTTTTAGCTGCAGCGAAGGCGGCAAGAACGAAGCGAAGCTCAGGCAGCGGTGAATGAATCCGAGCTCCTGGAACAGAAAAGCCGAAAGGATGAGCGCTCCAAGGGAGCGGCGGATAGTGGGAAACTTCTGCTGGAGAAAACCTTCAAACAAGAGGAGGAATTTCGGGAGCAAGCTGAAAGGAGACGACGCGAACGTGTTGAGATGCAAAAGAGGCAGCTTGAGGAGATGAAAAAGGCTGAAAATGAACTGATGAAGAAAGCTCAAGCTCTTCGAAAAGAAACTGACCATGGTGACAGCCATATGGGTTCACCTTCGTCACGTAACGGTAATAAAACAGAAGCAGAGTCAAAGTGGAAGAAGGGTTTCTTTGCATCGTTGTTTGGACGTAAGTAGGAACTGAACTTTGCCATAAAAGTCTTTGTTCATGACTTTTTTTTTCGTCATGACTGTAATTTGATATGAAATGCAGTAATTTTGATTCAAGTGCTCATGGTACATAAAAACTCTCGCATATTCGCCACTTTAGAATAGAGAAGGGAACTGGGACGAGGTTACTTTCGTAAAGACTTCTGAGACTGTTTCTCGAGACAGAGAAAAATTGGCCAATAACTGACCAGTGAGTCCCTAGAACAATCCCAGAAGTCTTTGCGAAAATCCATGCTGCCCAGTTGCTTTCTCGTTTCTACAGTGGTGAACTTCCCGCTGGAATTTGGCCAATAAGAGCCAAAAGAACCATTCCAGTCGGTTGCCAAACAAAAATTAGGGGTTCTTATATGCTGGTTTTTACTGTAACTGGCTTTATTACACTATTTCGGTTCCCCTACTAACAATTGGCGAAGCCAAGAAACATAATTAATTAAAACTTCTTCCGATCATTTTGCATTCTGGAAGGATGCTTTCTCGACGCAGCTTACTCTGAAAATTAAGCAGTTATAACGTACAGTCGTATTCATTGGTATCAGATTTACAAAGACTCACAAAATTCAATGAAGCGATCAGAAAGGGATGCAAATACATTTTGCGGGTCCCAAGCGCGGGAAATCGCATGAGAGCAGGTGTCGATGCGTTTTGTCTTTTGATTGGTCGAGAAAAAAGTGACCGAGAAGCTTTTAGCCAATCATAAAGCGTTACGGTACAAAAAAGTATCACGATAGCGAGTTGTTGAAACAGTTCGAGGTAGTTACATAATCTGCAAATCTTTTTTACAGGCCTTATGTATTGAATGTATCTACGTGTCAAGAACATCTTGTCTATGTGACATTTAACAAGGGTACTCGTTAGCTCTCGAAACCTTTAAAGTTATTGAAAATTCAGAAAAAAAAATTTCTGCCCAAGATTTTTGAAAGTCCTTTTTAAAATATATAGTCTCATATTTAAAGCCAATATATATAAATAATATATATATTTATAATTTAAGCGTTTCTTGTTTATGAAAACGAGTTGAAAACTCCGTTTTTAAAAATTTAACATATTCAGCAATTCGTGTTAATCTCTTCGTTGAACGTTTATTTTAAAATTCTATTATATTCCGACAATTTGTTTCTGAAATCCCACCAAGTTTTCTTGACAGAACCGTTTTAACACATTTTAAAACAATTCCCGAGGGTGGATCAACCAATTTTTGTACGCACAGAAATAGATAGAGTTTGCTTTGTTCCTCCGCCCTTGTCTTTTAATCGTCAAGCCTTTGGAATAGTTGGAATACTGTTGTAGAAATGTTCGGACGTTGGTCACCCGAACCAATAGTGTCGTCATTGGTGTGTTAAAATTCTGTGATTGACAAAAAACCTAGGTGAACTTAAGTTATAATGTTAAATCTGTGTAGAGTACTTTAAAGGTGCCAGCTAATCAAACTTTGCTAACACAGTGACGTCGTGACCTTAAAGCGCATTTGCAGGATTATTTCAGAAAAGTTTTTCTGAGGTATTTGGTTCTTTAAACTTTGTCCAGAATGCGAAGCCAAACCTGCACGTAAAGAAATATTATGGTAATTTTGGGAAAGATCGTTTACCGTATAATAAGATTTGAGGATTTAATTTCCGGAGAATTATGTAAAACATGGGGACGGGGGAATTCGACGGTCTCTCTTGGTAGCGAAGTATTCTTGGGTGGCCTATTGTGGCTGCTAGATACATTCAGAGCTAGACTGTTCACAGTCCCCTATTTTTCCTTAAGATAGTCCTGGATGAGTGTCAAATCTACTTAGGGGCCGGGGACGGTTTAAACCCCGACGCTCGCCCCGTAAGTACATATGAAACCAAGATGGCCGCCCCTACTAGTAAGGCGCTCGATCTTGACGATCTTACGAAAAAATAGGGGACTGTGACCAGTCTTTTCAGAGCAGAGTTATAAATATCTATAAAACTTTGAGTTAAATATTCTTTTACGGCCTTTAACTTAAACTTAAGTAATAGCTCTGAGTCGTTGTAACAAAATGTGCCGTCAAAATTAAACGGAAATTACAATGCATACTAGGAAAAGTTGTCTGACACTGTCAACGTCGTTTCCATCTTGGCAATTTGCTATGTAATTCCTGAGTTTGTACTCAATCGTGTTTGACAGTTTTAATATTACCTGTCAAATGATCTTAATTTTCCAATAAGGAATTGAGAAATATAAACCATGAGTATGAATAACATTATTCTCACTAATTCCGCTTCTAAATGCAAAAATGCTCCCCTAATATGTTTAAATAAGACGAAGATAACGAGTTTGAAAGTGCGAATTTCTTTCTTGCCAGGATTTATAAGCTCTTGTATCTTCTCTAAAAGTTTGTGTAATTAACGCAGATGGTTACCAAATTCAAACTAATTAATTTTAAAGGAACCTTTATTTGACAAAAAAGTGACATTACCATCGGTCACTTATTGAAGAAACTTTCTTTTGGACTTCTCTCAGTAAATATTTACAACGCTTAAGGCAAAATGAGGAGTCCCTTTAGTACGCGAAATTCCTATTTGTCTGTTTCCCGCTGAAACGCTGGTTATTGGTTAGGAATTGATTCCATTCGTATCCAGTTTAACTTTGAGATTTATTTTCAAAGTTCCAGTTTTGAGAATTCTGTCGTGCTACGGCTCCACCGATTGTCGAATTTCTACGAAACGACAGCTCCATTAAACAGCAGGTAAAAATTTGGGTAGAATTTTATGTTTGAATATGAAATGAATGCCCAAGTGTTAAGCAAACCAGGACCTCACGTATCCAGTTATTATTGTACCGATATCACAATTCTACTATTCGATGCGTATTTTCTATGAATAAGGAACATCCCCTCTCTATGTTGGAAGAAAAGAGCAAGTTTATCAGCTATGTGTCTAGAGCATAAAATGTCCTCGGCGTAAATGTAAATTGAATAAAAAGTTAGCTTCAAGCAGCTGTGGACATTGAACTGAAAACTACCCAAGATTAATCGTCTTTGGTATCAGAGTAAAAGAAGACTCAGCTTCGAACTAGTGTGAGAGACTAACTTAAATGTAGTCGCGTTGGTTTTTGGTATGGATTTACCGCCGCGAAGCTCCAATTGGGTAGCGTTCGAGTCCACCTCTCTTCTCGTAATTGCCATTACAGCAGTTGCGGGTAATGTTTTCATATGTCTTGCAACAGCAAGAAATCCTAACCTACGAACGACGACGAATTTATGGGTAACGGCCTTAGCTGTTGCGGACTTAGCTCGCTCATGCATCACCGCGCCAATGACTGTCGGAGCTCTTATTTCTGGTCGCTGGAATTACGGAACAGTAGGTTGTGTCATACAGGGATTCTTCACGTACTTTCTCACCCTCGTTTCCTTAATAACCATGGCGTTTATGGCCTTGAACCGATACTGCCGAGTTGTCAAACCATCACTTTATTTGAAAATTTTTACCAAACGACGCTCTATCGCCTTGTTGTCAGCATCTTGGTGTTTCTTAGCGCTGACGGTCTCTTTCCCAGTGATAATAGGCTGGGCCGAGTTTTCTTTCTATCCCGGTTACGCCGCCTGCGTTTTGAAATTCCACACGCCAACTATGACAAGAACCTTTCTCATGATGGACGCTGGGCTGATCCTCTTCCCTTGCATGGTTACAATAGCCGGATGTTACTTCAAAGTGTTGCGAGCCGTACGCCTACACAACCTTCAGGTTGTATGTTCACTGCAAAGATCATCTCACAGTAAACTTATAAGCGGAACGAATATAGAAGAAATACGAGTGACAAAAACGCTCTTCCTCTTAGTTTCCACGTTTGCAATTTGTTGGATTCCCGCCTACACTATCGCATTTCTGTGCCGTGGAAATCTTGTGATGATTTCGTTTCAAGGGACCCTTGCTGTCACGTTTCTCGTGGGGCTCAACTCAGCATGTAATCCCTTCATATATGGGTACATGAATCGCTCCTTTAGAGTAGAGTTTTGGAAGCTTATTCCTTGCAAAAGGGTGGAAAACCAAGTGGTGCCGCAGTTAGAAATGGAAAACACTTCACCCCTGTCTTACGTTGGGACGCGGCATTAACCATTCGATCAGCATCAAAGTTCTCCTTATGATATCGATGCTTTATAAAACAAAGCTGGTGATGAGAATTAGGGACATGATCACACAGCTTGAATCTGGTTTTTACTTTAACAACTTCTTCCTAACAACCTCTAAAGGATGTCTATAAGAACAACAATTAGACTTTGAATTTTGATGGTAGAGTTTGAAGGATTAAGACCATGAAACCATCTGCTGCTCCGTATTGTACCAAAGCAAAAACTTTTTAAACCCAACTTAGCCTGCGAAAACAGCCGACGCCGCACTGGTTTCTCCTCGAAATAGGGTGCTTATTCCATCCCGTTTAATTTGTCAAATGATGGCAAATTTTTTTGGAGTTGAATTCTAAAGGACTGCATCAAAGTTCAGGAAAAGAAAAAGAAAGTCGTTGCCTTTTGTTCCCGTCCTCAACAAAACGTGAAATTAGCCAGTTTCACGTTGTAGTCGTGCAACGACGGCAGAAAAATGTACAAAAAAAGCGTGATGCACGTGCAAACTTCTAAACCTATTGCGTTTTGCCGTTCTCGTTGCCGTCGCCGTCGTCGTTGCGTAAGCTACCTAATGATGTCCGTTGAACGACGGCAGAAATTTCATACTAGTGACGGTTTGTTTGAAACAAATTTCCATCGTGGTACGACCAATCAGACGCACTACCCAGATCTGACTAGCAACACGTCATCAGTACTGAATTTCTGCGCTCGTTCCTCAAACGTCTTTTCGCGGGCATACCACCGGTTGAGTCACGAATTGTTGTCTGTTTTAGGCTAAAACCAACCGCGCTGCAAGTCGAAAATCGAGAAATATTAAAGTTTCGTTTCGTAAACGATTAAATTACAACTGGTATCATAGAAAAATAATGCCAAAGATGTGTTATTTGATGATCACACGAAAGTACTGCTCAGTAGCTTTCATTTGAATGGTCACACCATAGGATTTCATCCTCAGATTCAAAAGTTAGAACCACCTTGTACAGCATAATAAACAGTACCACAGGAAAGTACTGCTCAGTAGCTTTCATTTGAATGGTCACACCATAGGATTTCAGCCTCAGATTCAAAAGTTAGAACCACCGAGTACAGTAATTCCGTTGTATACAGAACCAACTGTGAGTCTTCAGCCTCTTATATATCCTTTTTGTAAGTTTTTTTTTCTCCGGGTTTTTTTGCTTTGCTGAGGACTAAGAAGGGTTAGCAAATACTTAGATATCACGTAAATATTCTGAACGTTTTTCGAAAGAGAAGTGTTAAGTCTTAATGTTTCGCTATCCAGGCCTGTCAGTAGTTTTCTGCGGAAACGCTGGTTATTTTAGTTGCTAGTTGGTTATTTTAGCTGCTAGATTGCAGAAGAAAGTTCAAATCTTGAGAATTGTTTCGCTTTACACTACACGAGTACTTGACTTAACAGGAAACTGCATGGAAAATTTTGGACAGAATTTCAGTCTGATTCCTGAATGGAATCAGAAACAGCCTGCCGTTTGGGAAACCTGTGGCTAGCATTTACTAGCCCCCAATTTACAACAAAATCGTAAAAAATGCACTTGACAAAATCCCTGAAATGTTTGTAAATTGTAAATAAAGTTCCTACCAAGTGAGGTTTTTAATTTACAAAAAGCTCCTTTTTTCATTTGTATCCGACTGATTTGGTAAATACTAAAAAAACTATCCCCCTCAGGGTTGGCGAACAGTGCTAGATATATACCTCGACGCTTCGCGTCTCGTTATATACCCACCAGTGTTCACCTCTCCTTCGGGGGATAGTTGTATACTACTTTCTTTGTACGCTGGGAATGTCAAAACTTAACTAGCTGTTTATCAGAATCTTCAGTTTCCTGGGTCAGCGCTGGTGACAGTACACCGTCAGTTACAGCTGTAAAGTGAGTGTGCTGTCAACTGAGGACGACATGGCTAAGAAGTGATGACGTCACAAAAACTGAATTTTAGAATTTATTGGATTTGAGTGAAATTATCAGAAAGAACTAGGTGAAAACTGTCCGTGTGCCAAAAATCAGCTGGTTCGAGCAAATTGGCGCTGCGATATATCCAATGCAGACGACTTAAATAAGAATACTGGATAGAATAAACTGTCATTTTTGTCTCGCCATTTTAAAACACGCAAACCAAGCAAAAGGAAATACTGTTTTTTTATAACCACCTCCTTAGGTGCAAAAAGTGCACCTGGCTTGAATCTTACCCTTTACGGTCTAGAGTAAGAAGGATTTATATGGAGTTATTAAAGAATAACCTTGCGTGTATCTCACAGCCAATTTGCTCTAACAAGCTGATTGTTAGCAAATAGACAGTTTTCTTCTTGCTCTTTGTGAATATCTCTGTCAATGCCATAATTTCACAAATTTAATTTTTTGTGACATCGTACTGAGTCGTTTCCTGTTTGAAAATCATTCTGTGGATGATTCTAAGTGGACCCAGTGTGAGTAGAGTAGTCTTAGATAGTGATGAATCAAGCTACGTGATGAACATATATATATATATATATTTTCAATTAACTGTAAGCCGAAGAATAAACACGTCGCCGCCTGTACGGATGTAGCACACAGGAAGCCATTAAAGAGATCGCCCTTGATATTTTGTTGATGATTTGTAAATACACACGTAATCCATAGGGGTGAAAGCTGTCACGCATCTTTAAGGTTAGAATATGTTTGTGTGAAGGATTTCAACGTGATAACGCAAGCCGGACACAGATTGCCGAGAACTCTGAAACGACTCTAGATTTCGCCGACTTTCTCAGCGTTTGACTCGCGAAGTTGTTTCGAAGTGAAAATGATCCGTGTACATGACAAACCTGAATAGTAATTATTTGATGGTATACGCTGACACAAATATCTTCAATTATTCAATACGTGCCTTTTCTTAATGAAAAAAAAATTAATGCTAAGATAATCGTTTAACCCATTCACCACTGGTACAGTCTCAGCAATGCGTTGCGACTCCAGGCAACGGGCGGGTGCTGCCACGTTTCTCGTGTTTGTAGAAAGATTTAGGCGAAGTTTTCACTTTGCTTGTCGATTATGTTTCCTTATATTTCATATCCATGTCAGTATTAACCTTAGAATTATTTTCGACAGTTTTTATATGCTGGTTTCATAAGTTCAGAAATTGTCTACTTGAATCTATAACGTTTTCTATTTGCCGGGAACGTTTTTCAAGGGCCCTTTAGATTCTGACAGAAAACAGCAACACTACTCGTGTGCCTTATAGTTGGTAGTTTTTTTTGTTTAATATAACATAACGAACATGAAATTTGAGTCGGTTATTTGCCGTTCGAGTTTGTTGGGTCCTATGTATTGTTCAATGCAGGAAATGCCATTAAAATTCAAATTTGAAATATTCACTACCATACCTTAAAATTGATGTGACTTGATCNTAGATTTCGCCGACTTTCTCAGCGTTTGACTCGCGAAGTTGTTTCGAAGTGAAAATGATCCGTGTACATGACAAACCTGAATAGTAATTATTTGATGGTATACGCTGACACAAATATCTTCAATTATTCAATACGTGCCTTTTCTTAATGAAAAAAAAATTAATGCTAAGATAATCGTTTAACCCATTCACCACTGGTACAGTCTCAGCAATGCGTTGCGACTCCAGGCAACGGGCGGGTGCTGCCACGTTTCTCGTGTTTGTAGAAAGATTTAGGCGAAGTTTTCACTTTGCTTGTCGATTATGTTTCCTTATATTTCATATCCATGTCAGTATTAACCTTAGAATTATTTTCGACAGTTTTTATATGCTGGTTTCATAAGTTCAGAAATTGTCTACTTGAATCTATAACGTTTTCTATTTGCCGGGAACGTTTTTCAAGGGCCCTTTAGATTCTGACAGAAAACAGCAACACTACTCGTGTGCCTTATAGTTGGTAGTTTTTTTTGTTTAATATAACATAACGAACATGAAATTTGAGTCGGTTATTTGCCGTTCGAGTTTGTTGGGTCCTATGTATTGTTCAATGCAGGAAATTCCATTAAAATTCAAATTTGAAATATTCACTACCATACCTTAAAATTGATGTGACTTGATCACGCATCAAATCGAAGATTTTATTAAGTGAGCAGGCTTCTCGTTTGTAATTACAGAAAGAGGCGTGGACATCATTTTTCAATCATTTCACTTAATAAAAGTAACGCGGTCCTGAAAATGCTGAACGCTTAAAAAAACGCGAAAAATATTTTTACTATATGTAAAAAAGCATAGAAATATCAGCCTTTACAATAAGATCTTTAAATAGAACGAATGGATGCTAATCGGTTGTCAAGAAATATGACTTTTATGACACCCTTTGGACATGAAGCGCTTTTATGACGTCGAGTGATTCCTGCCTATCAAAAATATTGCATCGGGTGATGTGTGCCCCCAGATGCCATTTTTATCCTGAACAGGACTCAGCGTTAAGGCGTATAATCGTGTGGATTCGCAGGTAAGTGAGAAAATGATTCTGTTTAGCTTTTTTGACTCCCTCTGCAGGCGGCCAAAGGCAAAATTTCATGAGAAATGTCCAAATTCCGCTCTGTAAAAAACTGACAAATAAATAGTATCATGTACAAGCAATGCCAAAGAGGTTACAATTACATACTTATCCAAAAGCTAGATGAAAAGATGTTACCAACACTGAACATTTCAACTGTTACAAAAGAACGAAACATATATTATCTGAGTTTGGATTAAAATGTTGGAAATGGCATTGAAAAAGTGTGAACCCTCGTTGATGCAAAATCACAAACATAAGAGATCACAACAATATTTTGAACTATTTATTTCACAAAAGACTAAGTGCATTAAGAAACGAGTCTAACAGGCGGCTTTCACGACTCAGCGTTTACCTGCAGGATTGATGGATTTAAACCACGGAGATGAGAAACTCTACGCCTAACAATACTATCATAATTACTTTTGCCTTTCAATGTGTATGAGATTTAAAGGAAAAGCCTTAAATATACAGTTCACCTTTCGGTTCATTTCGCTTAAAAGCTGGCTTCAGGCGATTCAGTGTATTATCGAGAACAAATAACACTTAAAATCTTTAGCCGTATTCTACCTTTGATATGTTTCCAAGAAATGGTTGAATTTCCGCGCGTTAAACGGGAGGGGGATACCTTCTTTCCTCAGCAATGAAAGTCTTTAAAGACATTCGCAACGATAACTACAATACATATTTCTTTTAGGTATATATTGTTTTCTCTTAACGACTGAAATGTACGCAAGGTTTAAGCTTTTAACTCCAGGCAAGTTAATTACTTAGTATATCGTAAGACCCCTTGTTAAAAATTGAAATTTACTAAATGTTTTTCGATTACAGACCCCGAAATCGAAAGAAGGAAAATTGAACTCATAACCTGGGTCCTATAAGCTTAATGGCATACACAGTTCTTTTGAACATCCTGCCGAGTTTTTAATTAATTTCTTGGTTTAAAATGATCCTACTTAATTGAAATAAGTGGGAAAAGATCAAAGAAAGGAAAATAGAAATTTCCCGACCATATGCACACGTATATTCATTCATTGAAGCGCAAGGAAGCAGGTTTAAGCTGCGGCCATATCAAATAAATACTACTTCTTGTGCATTTTATTCTTTTGACCATAAGTTAAATACTAAATCTTGAAAAGACATATTTAAACTTTAAAGAATGACATTTCGATCCGTACCAACCTTCTCCTTGAGTTAAAAGTAATTTTTTTATTGTTCTCGGTTAGCGATTTTTATTTATTTTTCATGAACTAATTGAAGACAGCTGTCGAATGAAAAAGCAAATACGATCTGCGAAATAAGGTTTTTTTTCAGATAAACTAGGCAAATAATATGGATACAACTGTCATCTTCAATTCCATAACTTATGTATTCTTGCTAATCTCACTGAACTGAAGATAATTATTTCAGTTCCAGTATTTCAGTTTAGTAGCTCCAGCGGGGCCATTTCCTATGAAACAGTTTTGAAAAAAAATTAACAGCGCAGAAGGCAATCTCGTGTTTATTCAGGTCCATTTCCACCATGCCTGTCAAAGTTTAATGGTTTAAGTATCATTTCGTTTCTTGACCTCATTTTGATGCTGTTTCACTCCAAACAACTGTTAGTATTTTGTTTGACTTTCGAGTGTGGACCTTCATGCTCTACCAATCTCTATAAACCATCTCTGTTTTTGAACTACCAGTTGTCAGGAACAAATCATGATCATCGGGGTTGTTTCACTTGCAAATTGGTTCTAGCATTACCGAGCCTTATTGACGAGATCAAGCAAAACTAACTACGAGAGAATGACAATGGCAGGGGCGGGTCTAGGGGGAGGGTGCAGGGGGTGCTTACCCTCCCCCCTGAGATGACCTGCGGTTTTCTAATACAACTGGTACTCTGCAAAAAAAAACTATGTGGTTTATTGGTGTTGAAGTAGAGCAAGAGACGAGTGCACCTCTCCTAAAAAAATCCTGGATCCGGCCCTGAATGTGACTAACAATAGACGACCGTTTAACTGTGACAATAGACGGATCGAAGCGCACCAATTACTGATTACGAGTCTTCATAGCCAATAACATCACGGCTTGGCTGACAGACGACCAATAACATCGCGACGTAATTGACCAATCAGATCAATAACCGGAGTATGATACCATCAACTGACGTGATACAACTCACGTTGACTCTGAAGATGACTACCGCACAGGTTGTCGAAACGTCATTCACTGTCAACAACAACAGTCCTATTCAGGACTACGTTCACCCGGACGATCAGACTCAACCTACTTTTGATTACTGATTCTGTGGACGAAATCCGTGAATGTGACCATGACAGTACTATATGCTCCTCATCGGTATTTATCAAGTGTTATCATCAAAACTGGCAATTTTGCTTAAACCCTTTCGATCCACGTAGAGTAATAAGTAATGGAGCCTTGAGCTTGATCCCTATAAATGAAACCGGCCTGCGGTCAGTGTGATTATTCAAACCTGACCTCTTTGGCAGTTAACTTTCACGTGGTATCAACAGTTTGTCGGTATTTTGCAAAATGAGGTTTGGAAATTTTGTTGAATGTTGTTGTTGACCTCGGTTTCAACGGTCTCAGGAAAGGAGTTCATGTTAACCGTCGGCATGATTCCTGATAGGCAATAGTGTTGTGATGTCAGTTGTGGACGGTCGTACGGGGGGATCTCTGGCACGGTTCACGGACCAAAAAAGTAACTAATCACGAATCACAGATATCAAACTTTCATTTCAGTTTCGAGTCACATAATCAACATGTAAAGTACCGTTTTTTATCTTGTTCTTCCGCAAAAAGAAAAGTGGTAAAAGAGTGTCTAAAAAACAGCTCGAAAGTGGCGAAAAGAAAAAGCACGACTGCAAATAGCAGCTTACAAAAATTCATCATTTTCATTTAATGCTTTCACGTTCTTTATTTTTCTTCCGAAGTTCTCGACACTAAAAATCAGGGAGAAATAAGAAATAAAATCACCAATATCGATTATTAATTCGAGCTTTTCTCGGGGCACGAACAACCATTTGGTCACGGAACACCACTACTGAATTCACGATTCGCGAAAAACAATAATCACGTATCACGAAAGTACTACTGTACGACCCTCTTTATAGGTTTGAAAAGCTGAGTGAAGCTAAGCGATTTGAACACGGTGCAACGAATCAAAGAAATATGTTTTTATACCATAGCCGTGTGTCTAGGTTGACTGGTTGGCTATCCATGTTTGTTTGTATTTTTGACAACTTCGTTGCTTGCAGGTGAAAATTCTAACGACTACTAGTAAAAGAGGCCTCGGCTGAATTTATTTTTAAGCGTTATTTGGCAAAAACGGTTGCGTTAAGATCTCTAACATCTTAATAATTAGTTTTAAAAATTGTCAGAATGACAACTGAACAACTCAAAATAGGTGTGGTTTTGAAAACAGCAACAGGCTCTACCAACATGTATAAAATTTCTGTTTAATGCATAATTGTTGATAGTCTTATTCTTGCGTACACCTTTTTTTTTCTATTAGATATTGCTTGCGCAAAAAAGGTTCAGTATTTATTGTTGTGCGGGTGATATATATATCTCGTTTTCGTCTAGACCGTCCAATTAAAATTCTAGGATCTTTTTATTTGTAACAGATTTTTCTACAATTCAAACACCAGTTTTCTACCAAGATCAAAGATAAGCCCTCATGGCTAGTGGCGAGGACATCACTCTCTTAACACTGTTCTCGATCCTGGAGATAATTTGTCTTTCGTTCAACGTGATCGTCTGTGTAGCCATTTATCGGAGCAAGTCCCTGAAAATACCAATGAACAACCTGATATTTCACCTGGCAATCTCGGATTTTGTAATCGGTCTGTTTATCCTACCTCGACATGTGTTTACTGCGGCGTTTCGACATCCCGTTGGCATCGCTGGGGACTACCTTTGCAAGTTTATCACGGGTAGTGGAATTCTTTGGACTAGCTCCACAGCATCTGGGTTTCTGCTTATCGCCATCGCTGTTGAACGCTTTATGTCACTTAGAATTCAGAATCAGGGAAAGGAAATAACTACTGCGCGGCTTAAGCGAGTGGTCGCATTTTGTTGGATTACAGCCGTATTGGCGAATCTACCAACGCTGATTGTGTTTAGTTATGATGAACAAACGGACTTCTGCCATGAAAAGTGGCCGACATGGGTCTCTCCAAAAGCTTACGTTGCGTGTATTTTTCTTTTTGGTATAAGTTCAGTTTTGGTTATGTTTGTTCTGTACACTCAAGTGATATATACACTTTGGAACAGGCAAAGACGGGCGACAGAAATTTCCCAGGCGGCGCGAATTCGCGCGAGAAAAAATATCACAAAGTTACTGGTTCTAGTAACCTTTATTCATACAGTTTGTCGTTTACCCAACTACACGACTTATTTACTGGCATACTATGCTCCGTCGGTCAGCTATGGATCAAACGTTTACAATTTAACCGTGTTGCTGATCCTACTGAATTCCACACTACATCCGTTTATGCTGTTCTCGAATGTGCAGGGATTCACACGGCCATTGTTCGTATCGTTCTTCTGTTGCCGTGATAACAGAGTCGTTGTCGAGCCAGAGAGCGAGCACGTAAGTTTGCAAGCTGTACGACCGTCATTGTTTCTTTTACGTGACACAGAAACCGGTTTGATGTCCAGACCTTTGGCACCCCCCAGCCGGCCGCACAGCAGTTCGTGACAGAATTGACGAAGGCGCACAAGAATGCGATCATTATTCCGTTCAATCTCAGAAGCTGAACCTTTGAATCTTGCCTCCCTTTCAGAGTCAATCATGCAGACTTTGAGAACGGTCCTAGCTTTTGAATCTCCCATAAAATCCCATAGTGTGACCATTCAAATGAAAGCTACTGAGCAGTACTTTCCTGTGGTACTGTTTATTATACTGTACAAGGTGGTTCTAACTTGAAATCCTATGGTGTGACCATTCAGATGAAAGCTACTGAGCAGTACTTTCCTGTGGTACTGTTTGTTGTGATGTACAAAATGGTTCTACCTTATTTGGAACTGTACTTGAAATCCTATGGTGTGACTTTTCAAATGAACACTCTTCATCAGTATTTTCATATCGTTCTACTTGTTTATCAAGATGTACTCATAACATGAAGTTTCGCCTTTTTTTTTTTGTATTTCAATACAATTTGAGTGAAATGAAAACGGGTTAATCTGACTGTAGCTTTTGCTTTTGTGTAATAAGAAACCCTCATCTATTGAAAGCACCTTTCAGCTGTATTGAGCGTTTAATATTAAATATATTACAAGTATCCAGTCGAACTGTGTTAAAAACGACACTCAAAAAGGTTACAGCAACTCTGAAGAAACGCTGTTGCATGCAGATCAGTTATTAAACACCTGACCTGCTCCCAACGTCAGTGGCTTCATAGCTCAGTTGGTAGAGCATCGCACCGGTATCGCGAGGTCAAGGGTTCAAGCCCCGTTGAAGTCCTGAAATTTTTTTTTTTCAGGCGTCTTTACGCAATTGCATAAATTGCGTTCACTGCGACGAGCATTTCTTCATTTTCACAAAATAGATAGACGGACGGAAAATCCGTTCATTCATTGTCTCCAGTGCGCGTCTGTCCCTCTTGGCTGGTGGAAACTGAACATAAAGAAGGGACATCACTAAAACTCAGTGGAGGATAGAGGACACAATTTATAGAATAAGTGTTCTCGCCGACCCTTCCCACAACTCTCCAGTGTTCATTCACATAATCATAACACTCGATCGTGGACACACCCCGTCCACCAAAACAATAGATTTGGTTTTTATAGACCACGTAACCAAACTCGCTTCTTGCGTCATGTAATCGCGCGGGAGCAAAAATCCATTTGTCGCCAGGATCAGGGTGATAAATCTCCATTGTCTTAAGGCAGTGGCGATCATTCCTGCCACCATATACAAAGATACTGCCAGCCCATGCTATGACTCCAAAGCTGAAACGAGGCGCCAGGAGTCCCGGCATTTGTTTCCATTTTTGAGATTTGACATTGTAGCATTCCATAGTGGTCAGCAGTCCATCGTCATTAATGCCTCCAATGACGTATATCTTACTTTTCAAAATGGTAACACCTAATAGATTAAGAGCAATGCAGTAAACACCCGCTAATAAGAACCTAGTGGCTTAAGAACCTGCTGGCAGAAGTTTGGCACTTAAATACGCAAAAGTATAAGAACCAGTTCGCCAAGCAAGATCAAGCAGGTTCTTATATATGTGGGTTACAGTTAAATTATGATAAACGTTTTTACCAAGGAGTTTGACTTCGAGATTGCCAATTGATATTACAAGGAAATACTGTAGCAAGGAGGTTTACAATTTGCGGTTGTGAATAAATACTGTATATTTAAGGACTAGACTGATGATGCATGATGATATTGATGATGATGATACTGTAGAGCCACCTTAAATAGGCCCTTTGCAGGTAGCCGTTCACGTGGTACAAAACCGCCGTGCTGGAGAGCAAAAGTCGCACTGGGACAAGACAAACAAAGGTTAATAACCATTTAAAATTATGTATGCCCTTCATTTGTCTTGTCCCAGTGCGAATTTTGCTCTCCAGCATGGCGGTTTTGTACCCCGGTGAATGGCTAGCTGCAATTTGAAGACGAGTACGAGTACGAGATTTAACTTAAAGTTTTTGCTCGTGTTCGCCAAAAAAGACATTCCGGAAAGCTTCATTTTACTTTTTTTCACCAAAAACGTTAGTACGGTTATTTATACTGAAGGAGGTTAAACCCTCTCCCGATGGCAAACTCATAAAACTTCTTACATTTGATTACTTGTTCCCGCCACTACAACATTGGCCGTTTTTATGCTAGAGACGTTTAAGTCGTCTGAGACGTTAAAGTCGTCTTAAGACGACTTTAACGTCTAGTATAAAAACGGTAAATAAGGCAGACGACTTTAACGTCTGACGACTTTAACGTCTTCTGTTAAGTGCGTCCGAACGACGCACTTAATAGACGACTTCAACGTCTCAGACGTTAAAGTCTTCTGGTATAAAGACGGGACGTCGTAAACTAGGACGCATTTATGCTCGACTCGTCCAGAGACGACTGGGAGGAGTGCAAAACAACATGGCGGCTAAGAAGAGCGGGCTTGGAGTTCATTTTCGGCGCCGCTTTAACCCGTGTCCAGTGTCTTCCGAGAGTAGAGCCTAGTCCTTTTTTCAGAAAAATCTACTTTTTTAAATAAGGTCGTCTACTTTTGTGCGTCCCGTTTTTACACTAGACGACTTTAACGTCTCAGACGTTAAATGCGTCTAGACGACTTTAACGTCTCTAGCATAAAAACGGCCAAAAATTCTCCCTAAAACTCGTGGTAGAATGATGACGGCTACCAAGTCTTCCCGCCAAAATGACACTGGTTCACTCGTGAGTACTACATCAGTACTGAGGAAATCTCGTAGTCGTTGTCGTCCTCGTCTCAGAATCTAAAGCTTTCTATTGTTAAGTGACGTGTAAGAGTCTGTTACCATGACACCTTCGTGGCCTTATCATCTCAGGTAAAGAAGACCACTGACCAAAACGCACATCAAATACGTGTGCGGCCATATCATCAGGCTTTCCTCCAGTTACGTATATGTTGCTTCGTTTCGAACAAACACCCGCCTCACGGACACTGCGACCTGCAAAGAGTAGAAAATACAGTCAGCTTTCTCGTAAGCGACCACTCTCGGTGCACGAAAATCAAATCATTTAAGGCACAAGGTGGTCGATTGCGAGTAAATACGCAAGATATGCAAAACTGAAGGACCACACATTTTAAAACCTGACTGTCGAGTACTGACCACTTTTATATGAAATACGGTCAAGTCTCTCGAAGACGGACATCTTTGTGACGGGCAGCAAGAAATGTCCCTCTAAGAGTGTTTTTTTCATCTTATGGAGAGTCAAATGAAGGGAGTAAAGAAAGGCAGGGACCACCTGTAAGTGTCCTATTTATAGAGGCGTCCTTTAAGACAGAGTCGCCTGCAGTAAACTTTTTCATGAATTTATCGATGTATTGTTAAACCACCAGAGGATTCTCGCAAACCAGTCGAAATACCAGTAAGGCCGGGAAACGATGCGTTTAACTAATATTTCGATCGTTTTACAGACACCTCTCTCAACAAAGATTTGTATGAGACTGACACCTCGGTAAAACGGACAGCTAGAATTGGTCCCTGCCCATGCTCACTTTCTTTGACTCCCTATAAGAAGGGCATCACACTTAGACAGACACTTTGTGCAGGTTCCAAGGAGTTGACATTACATATCTTAATACTTTTGCTCAACCATACGCTCCGGAGCTTATTTTTCTGCGAGAAAAGTACTCAAAGGAGAGCTTTAAACACTGCTTTGACGTTTGTTTCATGTTTGTTCGATCCTAAAAGGGTTCAATCGAGGTTTCTGGGAAGCTGCCCACCTACCCCTTCCCTAAGTCACAATTTTGCCCCAAGTGAGAAGGAAGTGTTAATGTTGAGTCAGGGGAGGGGTAGGTGGGCAGTTACCCAGAGATTCTGCGCTCTACGAAATGAACCCTTGATACAGTTAGTAACACATGAATGTCTTACCATCTCCAACCCAAGTCCATTTTCTCGTCACGTGATTAAACCTGATCACTTCCCTCTTCGAAACAACGTATAATTCATCCTGCACCACAACTGCACAGCGGTGATTATTGAGGTCCTTGATTCCATCGGAACACCTTAGCTCTGGACAGGGCACGCATGCGTTATTATCCTTGTCAAACAGGTCAAACTTGCTTGTTTTCGTGCTGAAAATGTACACCATGTTGCCTGAGTTTCTTGGCGTTCCTAAGTCTTTGTCCTCTCGTGAAAAGCGTCTCGCAGTCAACGCGTCTTCTACTTCTTGGCGACACTTGTCCTCTCCTTCTACTAGCTCAGGTATCACGCGAGTACGGAGAAATTTTGTGCTCATTTGGCGAAACCGCACGGTTTTCATAACCGAGACCAAATCTTGGTTACTGGTGATAATGAGATAAAGTAACTGAGTTGTCTGAGTTGCGCGCCCAAGAGAAAAGAGAATGGGGAGAAGGTTGTTATAGTGAAGATGACAATGATGATAATAATGATAAAGATGACTATGATGATAATGATAAAATAACGATGGTAACGATTATGATAATGATACTGATGACGACGATGAAATGACGATGATGATTGATGATGATGGTGATGATTACGATGATGATGATATTGATGATACTGACGGCGATGATGATGATGCTGATGATGATGAAGATGATGCAGACGATGATGCTGATGATGATGATAATGATGACGCTTATGGTCATAATGATGGTGATGATGATGATGATTATAATATTGATGACGTTGATGAAATGACGATGGTGATGATGACGATGATGATGATACTGACGACGATGATGATGATATTGATGATGATGACGATGATGATGATGATGATGACGATGATGATGCTTACGGTCATAATGATGGTGATGGTGATGATGATTACAATACCGATGACGACGATGAAATGACGATGGTGATGATGACGATGATAATGATGATACTGGTGAAGATGACGTTGAAGTTGACACTAATAATGACGATGATGGGGATGCCAAAAGGAAAACCAAAGGAGAAAAAGAAAGCAAAGAAAGACTTTACAGGTAAGCTGCATTTTACAAGGTGACTCGGCGCCTGGAGGTGATTTTAATCTACGTAAAGCAGTAAAACAATCCTAACTATATCATACTGTCAATTAAAAAGGAAAAATGTGAGCTTTGGGTAAAAGAAATTCAATTATGTGTCGTCAAAAATAAGTAGTGATCGTTTGTATTTTGAGTTTTTAAAATCTGCAGGTTGAAAAAGTGTAGCAAGACTCTCCAGTAAGTCAAAAACCGAATTAATGCTAGTGCAATGCAATGCCATATCATCAAAGCAATCGCAAGCGTTAACAATAAAAACAATTTGTTGTGTCAGAGCAGAGTCCATAACGCGCAGATCCGGAGAAACTCCGATGCTAGGCTTATGTCACGGTGTTTTCGCGGACTGGTTTATTTTAAGATTCATTTTAGAGCACTTTTCCATATGAAAATGTGATCCTTGAAAGATATTCTAAATACGTTCCAAATTCGTTCTAAAAATAAACTGATCGGTGAAAACGTCGTGACGCTAGTACATGAATATTGCTCACTCACTCCACGTTATGGGCTCCTGGTCAAAGCATTGTCTTACCGCATCTCCGGAGCATGCTGGTACCATTTCCACACAGCTTCATACACTCTGTCTTCCAGCTTGACTCTCAGATTATTGCTCCTCAGCAGAGAGATTAACTGATCGGTTGTTAAATGGACAAAGTCATTTTCTTTGACAACTTGAGTGAAGTTCCATTCTATGTATTCCATTGCTTTTTGTTTCAGTTGTCCAAGGTCAAGATCTTCCGATAATTCTACAAACTTGATGCAGTTGTTTGCTCTTAGGTGTTCAATGCTAAGACGTTCGCAAGCAAGAATAGCCTCGTCGATCTAAAGTCGGGAATGAAAGTTGAACTTAGCAAGATTCGACGACCTAACACAGAAAATTTTCGCTCCAAATACTTAAATAAGCGGTAGGTACAGTTCATGTCGTATTGTCAATAAGGAATACATTGATTGTGACTGATCATCACCAAGCCTATACTGACCAATCAAAATTGAGGAAAACAATCTCGATTGACCAGGTTCCCAGCCTGGAAAGCTGAGTAGTAAGCTGAGGGTAGAAGTTTGTACTTACTTGAAATATTCCTTTAATACGTATTTCTCGCATTTTGTCATTCATTTGTGATCAGAAATCTGTCGTATTTAGGTACAGTACAGTGGCGGATCCAGGGGAGGGGCCCCGGGGGATCCTGGCCCCTCCCCCCTTATATTTAGACCAAACTGAGGCCCGAAGGGCCGAAAAATGTTTTTGGAGACCAAGGCCGGCGTTAATAAGTTATTTATTATATGACCTTTTCACTGTGGACCTGAAGCCAGTGATAAAAAAAAAACACGTCATCTCAATGAGTTGACGACTTGAGCCCGCGTTACAGTCAGGTGACATTGGTCAGCGACAACCTTTTTGACAGTTGTCAATTGACTATAACATGGATGTCAATAAGGATGTCCACTATCAAGTTAAACGCAGATTGTTTATGCCTTGGACACCTAGCTAACAATGCCCGGTCATTACAAGAAAACAGCCAATCAGAGCGCGCACACTACCGTAGCCATATAATAAAATCAAAGAAACCTGACAAGTATCTTGCCGACGATTAAAGCACACTCATTAAAGATTAATAGCTCAGTGAAAAAGTGAATGAAGAAAAATATCCAATTAAACGTCCTTTTTTGAAGTAATGTGAAGACGTATTCTCTCTTTTAGCCTTGTATTGTTGTTTTATGGTGTTTCAATCTAAAAGATAGAAGGGACTACTGTAAAATTTTGTGATATAGTGCGCTTTCCTCATTTTGAAAATATAATAGGCCTTTCTCGAGAGTTTTCACTTAAAACCTTTCACAGCCGTGCATACTATCTAGGAAAAAACTGATATGGCTCGCTAATCCTTATAAATAGTGAAATTCTTTTTACCACTGGACTCGCCTGGTCAGCCAATTCTGATTAACGCAAAGTAAGGGCCTGAAGTTATTAAAAAATACTTTACCTGAAGGTAGCAAAGAAGTCGTAGCATATCGTTCATTTGAAGAAAATTCAAAACCAGTTTTCCCGTGTACAAAAAATCTAACACACTGTGAACAATTTGTTTGTCAAACTGCTCTGGAATTTCCAGCTCTTTAAAATGTGTAGGCTTTTCTTCTTCGTCGACTTGCGTGGCTACAAGCTTTTCGCGGAAAAACTTACATGTTCCCGCTAAAACAACTCGATGCGCTGGGAAACGTTGCCCGTGGATACAGATGAAGATGTCGCAATTTTCTTCCTTCGTGCGCATGTCTTGAAAACTAAGAAAGGCATTTGTTATGTGAGAGCTAGATACGAAACAGGTTTCGTTTGATACAGTCGTGGTGCTTGCTGAAGCTAGATTTCGCTGCCAAGTCATGGCCATGGTGACATTGAGCTTGAATATGTTCGTGTTCTTCAGTGGTTACGACGTCAAACTGGAAACACTAAACGACCTTGAAAATATCTTACTGCTTTTTGTGTTTAAGCCAGTTAATAGTCTCACCAATTAACCCTTAAGATCCATTAGCACGGAAGTATAATTGATTCAATTGAAATTCAGACTCGCATTAAGAAAGAAGAAAGGAAACTCTGTTTACGTGTCAAATCAAAAACAAAACGCGATGAGCGAAACACGTAGCTTCTAGTAATGGGGTGTCAGCGTGGTTTGCTTTTTGTCCCGAAACAGCCAAAAGCTTTGGTCGTTTGGCGCAAAAATAGGAAATTTTAACCGTTGTTCTTTAAAACATTTTTTTGTGTATCCTAGCCTTAATTTGTTACTTGAAAGTTGCCAAGATCGCTTGTTAAGACTACTGCTATTAAATGGATCATAGTATTGCTTTTTATCCTGATTATTCATAAAGTATAATGATCTTAAGATTCCGAAGACCTCAAACACGTTTTTTAGCAATGGAGGTTTAACTTTAAACTGAACATTTTTTAAGGTTTCTGATAACCGTAATGTGAATAAGCTAGTTAACCGTTAACGGTGAAAGTTCCCCTTCACAAGACAACTGAAAATAGGCTGTATACGGGCATGCATAAGTTTCTATATGTAAATCTACTTCTTAGTAAGCTCTAAGGGTAAGAGAAGTATTAGCAGCTCTCAGAAATGTCAGAATGCACCTGTTTCAACAGTCATTTAATTGTAACAATATTGAACACAAGCTCATTTCCACTTCAATTTATTTTACTTTTTGGAGACATGCAAATTAGTCCTGACTCTTTTATTTTGTGAACAGAAATCCTTCGGTGTTATTATATTCCAAATACGCTTTTTAGCAGAAACTTTGCATGGCAACATTTGTTTTTCCTTTGTTATGGAGCGTGGGTTAGAGAGCGTTTTTCACTTTATTTTTTAGCCGTTTTAACTTACGTAGAACCGATGTAAAAATTAACGTTGATTATTTTTTGGCGCCCTTTTAAGGCTTGTTTTAAGGCGGTTATGGACAAAATATACTAAGTTTTGGTCAATTTAAATAAAAGGTGAGAGTTTAAAATGATTCATCAAAAGAAAAAAATAACATTGGATACCTTTTAAAAGGCGGTATTTGTGAAACCTAGTTTTTGTTATTTGTGATGTGACAAGTCAATAATTGTTTGAGTTACCACTGTTGATTATTAGCGCCTCTAGATTTTTGGTTTGTTCTCTCTACTCTTTTTTCATTAGCCTCCAGTTTCACTACAGTAGAGTGAATAGCAAAACATCCTTTAAAATTTCACTATTTCTTTTCGTAAAATCCTCAGAAATAAAAAGCACTGTGCAGACGTTCTGCCACCAAAGAGGTTCTATTTGAATGGTAACACCGTAGGAGTTTGTCCATATCGATCACAGATGCAAAAGTAACTTTGAGAAATCATTCATCATAACTTTGCCTAGGTGTGAAAGGAAATGAAGGAACAATGCTACCTTGTTATGCCATATACTATTTTTTTTTGGCTCCATTTAGTTAAAGTTATTTTATAAAAGCAATAGACCACACTGTCTATGAGTTTAATTTACCAGCGTGATAACCCACTTGGGATGTTAAGAGAACATTCGAAAAGTTTGTAAATCACTCGCCTTCGGCTCGTGATTTACAAGCTTTTCTCGTGTTCTCCCAACATCCCACGTGGGTTATCACGCCGGTAAACCCATAGAAAGTGTGGTCGATTAGCGCTTAACCCGGGGTTAAATTTAACCCGGGTTTCTCTTTCTTGTGTTCAAAAGCATTTTCTCGGATAATTTTCTCTGTTATATATAGAGCTTTCAATCATCAGCTTGTAGACATAAAGAATTAAAACTGAAATGCTTCAACTTTTCTTTTGCTAGGGGGTGTAAAAAAGTTTTTTCAATTTCTTTCGTGCACAGCAAACAGATGGCTTTCAGAACGTAAAAGCTGTGCGCGCTTTTGTTTAGCATTGGCGATCCATGACGACATAATGAACAAACATTTGTTTGTGAAATTTCTTTTCGTGCAGAACGTACGTCTTGAAACAATAAACAAAGATGGTGGTCAATCTGTTGGTGTTCTCTCTCAGTATCCGTTTTCTCTTGGGAGTTTTAATCCTGATAATTTGGTGACAATATCGTCCATTAGCCCGTTGTTAGTAACCGTCTTAATTTGTTCCCTTTTCAACTGCTTTTTTATTTAGACTTGCCATAAGTCGACCTCAGCAGGGAGTCCGTAAAGTGGTACAAAGTGAAGTTTTAAAAATGATTTTTCACTTTTACATGGCATTTAAAATCTGACTAAAGGAAAGCGTTTCCCTCATGCCTTCTGTTGTGGCTCGTTGTAACATTCTATAGGCCAAGACTAGCCTGCGTAGCAGGCGCCAGTCATTATTTCTTTATCCTTTTCCCCTAAAAAACCGGCGCTCGTTAAGCAGGCTAGGCCAAGACAAAAGTCTTGGAGCCAGGAAATCTGCCTCCTCCATTCATTAATTGAAGCGCAAATTGACGTGGATAAATAAACAATACCCGACGAACAAAAAGAGAATGACTTTGTCTCAAAACGTCATTATTTCTTTTCACAATGCAACTGAGATATTGATACGAGGTTTAATATGCTGACTGCATTAAGTAACCTCGGACAAAGAAATTTTTAAAAGTGTACTTCTCAAAAACGAAACTTGCGAAGCCCTTGGAAAATGTTTGAACTACGACATATTGTGTTCATCTGGGTTTTTTCGAGTCTGCCATTTTGTTTTTGTGGCTTTTTCCAGCCCTCCTTTCACTGGGATCCACGCAATCCGCTGTAAGTACATTCTTCTGCTCTGAGGTTGTAATTTCTATTTTCTCTTTCCTTTCCGCGGACATGACCAGTATTGGTTAAAATCAATGTTACATTCCCTATAAATTATATAATTGGGAATTAAAGAAATCATATCCCAGTTATAACTGATTTCCAGTGTAAACTTATAGTAATGAACTTGGTGTTGGGTTAGAATTTAAAATACGCTTTACAAATTAACGCCTGTACTTTAGCGTACAATGTCATTTATTATATGAAAAACAGTGATTGTGATTAAGTAATCATAGCGAAGAGTTTCAGTTTTTAAAACTTCCAAGAGTTCTAAAAGTCAAAATCAAGAAAAAGAAATGGCAGCTTTTTATTATTTTGAAACTCCGTGAAGGCCTAAAAAGAACGTATACACGTGTAAACGTACTGCTGAAAGTGTGTTTTTGGCTGAGGTCACTCTATAAAAGGGTTTGTAGGGTTATTGGTTATCAAACTGTGTTTAACAAAGCCACATTCTAACAGTTAGCTCAATATTAACATTTATTAATTTTATAAGTTTGTTAAGAAACTATAAAACACGAGCTAAATAAAAAAACATTTATCTGCTTGCTACAAACTACCATATCTCGCGATCCAATAATTGTTTAAATCCTTTATAACGGAGGAAATTGGTAGTACCTTCGGCTCTGAAAACTGATAGACTTTTGTGGCTCTCGTACATATAAATGGCGTTCAATCTCCTGAAGAAGACGGTAACTGCTGTTCATAAAAATGGACTGAGAGCGGCTGCCAGTGGCGCCTTGTATGCTGACGTCCGAGCTTACTGTTCACATGTTAAAGTATTGTAAAGAGGGCACGTTTGTTGTCCTCTCATCCACGACCCGTCTTCTTCTTCTTCTTCATAATTGGTACTTGCATGTATCGACACGTATAAAATGTGAGGTTTTTAATTTTATTGTTTTTAAAGGTTCACTCCGCATGGCCTTGAGATCAGTGTTCTGCCAAATTCCCAGCTCAACTTCATTTGCCCGAACCCAGCCAATGTGCTGACGAAGCAAGAATGCAGTATTCCAAAGGAACAAATGAACGAAAACATGTGGATAGTCGACAAAAGTGAATATGACACGTGTACTGTAAATGCGAGTGTCTCAAACCTTCTTCTGGCTAGTAGGAATATTTTTAACTGCCGGAATCCTTCACAGCTGAGGTATCTTGAGATGGTGTTTAGATCGCATAGCCCTACTCCTGGAGGATTGGAATTTTCACCAGGAAAGAAATATTACTTTATAGGTATGGGTATGCATGTGGTAGTTAATTTTTTTTTCTCAGTTATTTTTTGTTTTTACACTTCTTTTGGGTATGGTTATGTATGCTAATGAAGATGAAAAACAAAGGAAAAACAATAATTACCTGAAATAAAAAATGAACTGCGAGAGATACATTTAAATTCGGTCAAAAGGTGCGCCCATCATTTTGCCCTAAGTGAGAAGTAATTGTAAATGTTAGCTTAGGGGAGGGGTAGGTGGGCAGTTTCCCAGAAACCTAAACTGGTCCATGGGCAATAGGACGCCGTACCCCACCACCCACCCTCGTCCTCGCCCCTTTCTCTTTTCTTGGTTGTGTTCAAAATCATTATACGTTACTGGGAAACTGCCCGCATAAAAACTAAACTCCGACACCCAGGGTATCAGCTATTCGGCTCTGTCACAAGAATAGAAGCTTTAACCCTATGATGTTATTTTTCTCCTTAGCAACCTCGAACGGCACAATTCAATCGCTTGCCTCGCATGAGGGAGGACACTGTTTGTCATCAAACATGAAGATGGCTATTTATGTTTGCGTTGGAACATCAGGTGTGAAAGTTGGGATCAATCGAGGTTTCTGGGTAACTGACCACCTACTCCTCCCCTAAGTCACAATTCTGGCCTAAGTGAGGAGCAATTGTTCGTGTTGACTTAGGGAGGGGTAGGTTTTCAGCTACCCAGAAATCTAAGTTGCCGAAAGTTCTTCCTCTAAAATCATATTTCATTAATTTATTGAGGGCGAGAAGAGGAGCCCGCAATCCTAATCTCCAGGCTGCTATTACGCATGCTCGGTAAGTATGTAGTTTTCGTTTGGACTTCCAAAATGGAATGCGCAGAACACAATCTTATCACGCGCGTTTGGACCTTCTATCAGTCGTGATCTGATCACCAGCGTTTTGACCATCTGCCACGTGAAACCTACGCAAAGCATAGCGTTTGACCAAAATTGTTTTGACCTTTGATCGTTGTCGCCCGCACTCTGTAACCTTTGGTTATTGCGGAAGACAAGAGGAGCCCTCAATCCTAATCTCCAGGGCTGAGTTGCTCGAAGCATGGTTAGCTTTAACCATTGGTTAAGCAGTATCAAAACCAATACGTTGTCATGGTATTAAACGCTGGTTAACGCTAACCATGCTTCGAGCAACTGGGGCCAGGTTATTATTACGCATGCGTCGCATGTATGTACCCAGCATTCGTTTGGACTTCCACTAAAAATGAATGGAATGCACAGTACGCCATTTGAACAAGAGTGTCTCGACCTTCTACCCCTCGCATTCTGTTCACGCGTGTTTTGACCATCTGTCACGTTAAAACTTAGGCAAAGCAGGGCGTTGGAGTAAAAGCGTTTTGACCTTCGATCTTTGTCACCCGCACTTCCTAACCTTTTGCCGGTTGTTACTTGTACTTAATGTTAATATGGTTTGGATTAAAACTGACAGACAAATCATAAAACAGCATAATATGAAATCGATCTGTTTATTTTTAAGATAAATTTTGTGATTATCATTATTATTGTTATTTTTAGATCCTAAATGCATCAATGTTCCAGACGTTTCCTCATCTCGTTCAATGTCCGTTGCTCCTCAAACTTTGACAGAGACCGTGAGTTATTGCCCAACACCAAGCATCCCCGCGTGTCCTATTCAAGAGTCCAGTCCAATGATGTCATCCTCCGGAAATCCAAGCATTTCCTCGTCTACTATTCAGCAGTCTAGTCCAGTACAGTCATTTTTCGAAACTCCGAGCATCTCTTTGTCTCCTATTCAACAGTCCAGTCCAATACAGTCATCGACAATTTCAGCGTCCATCAGTCCCTCAAATAGTGCGCTTGCGTTAGCGTCATCGACCGCTGTCCAGTGCCAGGGTTAGAATTCCAGATGACTCTCTAAATTATTGATACAAATCAGAATTATCTGCTATTAAAGAAAAATCGTTAAAATAACACCACTTAATTGCATTGCATTTTCTAGCTTCTATTACGTATACCATGTTGCTAACAGATCCAAATTCAAGTCCTCAAAAGAAGAGCTAGAGATGTAACTTGATTGGCCAATAATAATAATTATTGGAGGAGGTTTTTGTGACATCCTGAATAATCAAATGTTATCAACCGAGCCGAAGGCCGAGGCTGATAACACTTACCGAGACCTTGATTATTTAGGATAACACAAAAACCGAATCTAATAACTGTTTTATTGTACATTGTTTTGAAGAAAATAACCTCAAACATACCGTCCTAAGGAACCTGAATTGATATTGTTGAGAAAATCATGCATTGCCCGCGCAACCTACAGATTAGTCAGTTATCTGCAAGCAGATAACTAACTAATCTGTAGGTTACGCTGATTTCCAAAAAAAGCTGTAGGCTCTTAGCCAATGAGAAGACAAATAGTGGGTACAATGTGTAATAACACAATTAATCTGTTACGTAACAAGATTCTTTACCCTTTTTAGGGGAGTCCATTCCTGCAGAATTTTACTCGCTATTCGTGAACCAGACATACGTGTTGGCAGCGATCTACAACTACACTTCTTTGCTCCCTGGCCTAGACCTTCTTGTTCAAAGCATAAATTCTTCCTTACCAGTAACAACCCAGGAGGTGGAGGTGAACCAAGTGCAGAACTGCAGTAATTATACAGAGGTAGCCCCCATAGCACCAGCATGTCCTCTTGGAGTACAAGCCCCTAGTAAGATATGACCAAGTGGTAGTCCTATTTACTCCTAGGTGAAAGGTGACAAAGCATTGAAATAAATTTGTTTTTTTGGGCATATGTTGAATAACAAATGCTACCATGTGGAAGTACTGCTGAAGAGGTTTCATTTGAATGGTCACAACACAGAACTTGAAAGTCAATAGCGTGATTCTGTGGGTGTTGAGGGTTCGAGGTCAGGGATTAAAATCAGAGTGCGCGGATATTTTTCATCAGAGCTTTCTCTGGTTGTTGCGCCATACTGACGAGCCCCAAAAAGGGCAAAACAGCTGTCTATGGCTACAATCGCGCTCTGTTTTGAGTTCTTTCGGTGTCGTGTTGATGTCTTGCAGAGTTGATTTTTACGTAGTACGATCAGCATTGCAGTATTCTGCTTGCAGAATTTAATATGTCTACATTATTATTTTTGCTGATCGGGTCTTTATAGATCCTACGTTCTTCAGCATATTCGTTTGCCGTCCTTTGCAATCCTTTGTGGTTAATGTTTGAGCTACAGAATCAACCATTTGAGATAATTTTCTTATATAAATATTCATTTGATTTTATTTCTTTTCTTTTTTGCCAAGTTCTTCGCAGCTGCAAAGAAATCATGGACGCAAGTTATACGCTAAGCGGTATTTACCGAATTGATCCCCAAGACGGACAAGGCGGCTTCGGAGTTCACTGTGATCAGGAGACCGAAGCGGGTGGGTGGACGACCGTCCTTCGAAGAATGGATGGCAGTTTAGGTTTTCACCGGGGATGGAATGCCTATGTGGACGGAATGGGAGATATGACTGGAGAATTCTGGATCGGTTTGCGCAAGTTGCAAAGATTGACTGCTAACAAACAGTTCACCATCAGGTTCGATCTCCAGGCCCCGAATGGAGAGAAAAGGTACGCTGAGTATACTGGGAATTCACTAGGTGACTCGTCGACAAAGTACCGGATAACTGTTGGAAACTACTCAGGTAAGAATCCGGGGGGGGGGGGACTTTAAGAATTTTTGGGTGGCGATGTGCCGCTGGGACCCTGGAACCCTTACCCTAAAATAACCTAAATAATAACCTAAACTCCCCAAAACCCCCCCCCCCCCCCCCCCCCCCCCCCCCAACACAACCTTCTCACCTCCGCCCCCACCATCATATCTCATTTATTTATTTCATTGGCAGTGCCGGGGAAGTCGGGGTCGGGTTGAGAAAATGGCAAAAATGGACTGCAAACAAACAGTTCCCCACCAGGTTCGAACCCCAGGCCCCGAAGGGGAAGAAAAGGGACGCTGATTAAACTGGGAATTCACTGGGTGACTCGGCGACAAAGTACCGGATAACTGTTGGAAACTACTCAGGGAAGAATCCGGGGGGGGGGGGACTTTAAGAATTTTTGGGTGGCGATGTGCCGCTGGGACCCTGGAACCCTTACCCTATAATAACCTAAATAATAACCTAAACTCCCCAAATCCCCCCACCTCCCCCCGCCCCCTCCATCCAAAAATAGCTTTTAGGCTGAGTCGCGTAAATTTAATTTAATTTATATTTTTGAGTGGCAATTCCCGGTCTCCCTAGTCTAGCCTAAAATCTTTGACCAACTGATCAGTTTTCTGGAAAATGATACCCAATTCTATACCCAAACACTCTGATTTATCAACCCTATCCCAGAGTAAACTGCTTGAAAACCATACCCCCCCCCCCCGGGATTTAGACTAACTGGGTCTGGAAGGGTATTTTCGGGGTGCGGGATTTGAATAAAACACGGTGCGGGATTCGGGAAAACGCGAGATATCTTGACGGGAAACGGGATCTCACTGCACCCGGGAAGCGGAATTTCAAAATTTGGGCTCGGAATGCGGAAACTGCGACGTTGTTGGCCTTGGAACTTAAGAATCTCAAAAGCACAGCTTCGATTCAAACAAATATGTTGTCTAAGCAGTACATCAAACGTTGCAAACAACAAAAGTGAACTTTGAAAAACTGTTAGGTTAACAAGTTTTCAAAAACCACAATTGCAATCCGTTTTAATCTTCTTCAAGTTTATTCATCTGGGCCTCCCTTTGTAGTTAACGTTATTTTTACCTTCGTTTATTGTTATGTTTGGATAATTGTTATGTTTCACTCAATTTGGAGGCAGTTGCCATCTTTGAAATTTTTCTAAATTCCGCATATGAAAGGGGTGGGGATGCTCCTGGGAAATTTTGAATTAAAGCCCTAAAGGAGACCGATCTGGGCGTGGCCCAAGCTTTTTTTGACCCCTAAAAGAGACCATGTTAAAACACAGACAAATGAGAAAACTTGGATTATATGAATGGAGTAAATAAAACGCATTAAAAATATACATATCAAATATATATTTTCAGATTTTTTCGCGTGCAACCCTAAACGAGACCTTCACGGCTAAATATGATGGCGTTTTGCCCAGAACATCCTAAGTGAGACCAAAATCTGAAATTTACACTCCTAAGCGAGACGACGAGCATCCCCACCCCTTTTATATGCGGAGTCTCCCCCCCCCCGGGATTTTGTGACACAGCCATTTTAACTGATGTTTTTTGATTGTCTAATAACAGCTGGTAACGCTGGTGATTCATTCTCGTACCATAACAACATGAAATTCTCAACGAAAAATGCCGACAACGACGCATCTATACCTTCATCCGTGAACTGCGCACAATTGGCGAGGGGTGGCTGGTGGTATAATGACTGCCAGCGAGTCTGCCTTACTGGTCAATACCTGAACGGGACACACGCTTCTGGAATAGTCGGAATACAATGGAGGGCGTGGAAAGGCGAAGCCTATTCTTTATCACAAGCAGAGATGAAGATAAGATTAGAATAATCCCGTCGAACTAAGCACGAAAGGAAATAACTGTTCTTCGTAAAACCTAAATGGAAAATTACTGCTCAGTAGCTTTCACTTGAATGGTCACACCATAGGATTTCATCCACAGACTCAAAAGTTAGAACCACCCTGTACAGTTTAATTAACAGTACCACAGGAAAGTACTACTCAGTAGCTTTCATTTGAATGGTTACACCATAGGATTTCATCCACAGACTCAAAAGTTAGAACCACCTTGTACAGCATAACAAACAGTACCACAAGAAAGTACTACTCAGTAGCTTTCATTTGAATGGTCACATCATAGGATTTCATCCACGGACTAAAAAGTTTGAATCACTTTGTACTCTTGTACACCATAATAACAGTATGATAAACAGCACCACCAGATTGCTTTTATGGAATGCTTTACGTATATCTTTATAATCGCTGTCTTCACAACGCGTGGTCGATACTCTAAAGTCTTACCTTTACTTAACAAAATTGTTACCATGTAAGGGACCAGCCTCCATCCTATTCATTAGGGAGTTTTAGTAACGACGAAGGCGACGGCAACGAGAACGTCAAAACAGCAATAGGTTTATTAAACAAAACAACAACTTTGCACGTGCATCACGCTTTTTTGTTCATTTCTTTGCCGTCAATGCACGACTACGGCGTGAAAATGCCCAGTTTCACGTTTTATGGAGGACTTAAACAAGCGACGACGAAATTTTCTTTCTCTTTTTAAACTTGAGTGCGGTCCTTATAAGAAATTACCTCCAGGGAAATTAGCCTACATTAGACATTTTCCGCCAATTGGAGTAAACGCGACAAAGTTTGAAAAAAACGCTAATTCATTTTAAAAGTGACGTTTTCAATGCCGTCGCGGTCGTCTATGCTAAAAGTGGACAGAGTTTGCGTCACACTTCTCTGGCGGGATTCGACAAAGGGAAAGAGGCTTATGAGAACTATATTGAATACTATGTGATGTAAGCAAGTCCGGTAAGAGCCCTAAGGCTTATAGTTACGGTAATATATTGTTAAAAATAATTAAGTTTTTGTACACTGCTAAATACACTACTGAGCCTCAATTCAAAGGCCTCCGAGTAGATTACAATTCCTACAATGCAGTAAGTACATAAATTACTATGTACAAATGTTGGGTTCAACTCATGAAAAAAAATGGCAAAACTTCTTCCCTCCTGAATTTCGCATAAACATTCTTGATCTATCCCAGAAAAGCAGGGTTAATTACTGAAAATACAAAAAGATACATCAAAAAGTCAAGTACGTCACACAAGCAAACTTCACAAGCAACCGCGTTTCCGAATAATATTCTTCACATTATTTTATACTAGTAGTGCATGGGTAATATTTTCAACTTAGTTTACTGCTGTGGGAATTCATTTACGTAAAACTTGGCAAATTTACGAAATTTTTTCGTCTGACGTAAACATGCATAAGGAAGGTTATTCCCCTAGGAATATCTAGCTTTAACAAAAGGCAAAGAATCAATAGATTTGAAAATGGGTTGTTATTCGTGATGTCTTTTGTTCGAATATTTCAATAAAAATTCATTTTGAACAACTGTAAGATTTAACTAATGAAGTTTGTCCGTATGAAAGCTGTCCTTCTTATCGTCTTGAAAAAGGACGATGATGATATCCATTCAAAATCTTCTCCATCTTTGGCTGGCGGTTGGTGTTTGCTGTGCTGGATTCCAGCCCTCGTTTCACTGGGACCCGCGCAATCCAATGTAAGTACGTAAACATTCGCGGCTAACAGAGCGGTGTTTTGTACTTTCAGTTATTTTAGGCGATCAATATTCTATATAGTTCCCAAAATAAGCCTTTTCCTGTTGCGAACAAAACTCGAGACAGTGCTCCAACAAACAAGCCTAACAGTCGAAGGCCACCAGGCTTCAGAAATCACTTTTAAATCATGGACCACAGGGTTACATTTCATCGACGGAATAAGAAGTTCGACGCTCTCCGCATATAGACAATAGGGCCATTTATACGAGGAAAAATAAGACGCGTCTTAAATAAGACGCGAACTGTACCATTTATACGAGCATGTCTTATCTAATAAGACGCGTCTTAGCTAAGCCGCGTCTTATTTTAGACGAAATGTGCCGTTTATACGGAAAGTTCGCGTCTTATTTAAGACGCGTCTTATGTAAGACGCGTCTTATTTTTCCTCGTATAAATGGCCCTAATGAACCACGCAAAAATGCAAGGTGGTTTTATACCCCGTTCACAAGAAGCTGTGTAAAAACCATGCTTTTCAATTCCAAATATCGCTCCCCTTTCACCTTGAAAATCCTCAATGCGAATCCTTGCCATAAAATAAGTCAGATAATTTATGAGAGAAACTAACATCAAAGCCAGGACTTGAGCTAAGCATTTGAGCCAGGTCTCCAGCCAAGCCGGACTTCCATGATTGCCACAACCCTAAACCTAACCCTAACTTTCTATGATTGCCAGCAAAACCCTCCTCTAAATGGTCATGTGACTGGTAGGAAGTGAAAATGGCGGGAAGGTGAAAAATTGTCGAGTCCTTCGTCGCGTCCTGGCTCGGATAAACATTTCTTGATATCTTTAGTTTCTTTTAAGATTTCAGAAACCAGTGGAGATTAAAGTCCATCTAAATTCCAAGCGCAACTTCATATGTCCCAACCCAGCCAGTGTGTTGACCGAACAAGACTCCAGTATACCAGAGGAGCAAATGTACGAAAACATGTGGATAGTGGACAAACAGGAATACGATACATGCAGTGTAAATACGAGCGTCTTAAGCGATCCTCTGGTTAAAAGAAATCTTATGATCTGCCGGAATCCTTTGCAGTTAAGCTATTATGAGATGGTGTTTAGATCTAACAGTCCACCGGGAGGACTTGAGTTTACACCAGGAATCACCTATTACTTTATAGGTAAGAAGGAGCCCCCGAGGAGGGGAGGGGAGGGGAGGACTCTGCTCGATTAATGGGTACCTTTATTCAGGCTCTCAGGTATATGAAAGGGTAGGGATCTCACTAGCTGAAGTACAGTAGAACCTTGATAACTCAAATTCTCCGCTAACAAGAACTAAATTTCCACTCCCTTGAATAAAATTTCACTGAAATTAAACCCGATAACTCGAATTCGTCGCTAGCCTGCGAACAGCAGACGCATTTCCGGTCGTCGCTTTTCTCTCTCCGAAAAACCGGAAAATGTGTCTGCTGTTCGCAGGCTAATTCGTCGCAAACTCGATCCGTTTTTCGTTTCCCTCCAGAGTTCGAGTTACCTGGGCTCTACTGTATATGAAATGGTTGGGAAATCTGTCATTTTGGTCTGTAAAAAGACCAAAAGGGGCTGTAAAAAAGACAAGAGAACTTCCTGGTTTAGTTTCAATTCATTCGTATTGTAAAGACAATGCATTTACAGCTGTTAAAAGGGATGCAAAGTTCTAAACTAGGTACGTGAAGTACGTGAATTACCATTTGTCAATAGAAGGTGTACGAATGTCTAAAATGGTTTTTGAAAGGTTAAGACGGGTTGGACCTCGGAGCGTGAGCCTCCCCCTAAGAAACTTTGTTGCGTACCTCCCAGGGGAACAAGCTGGCGCTCGATCACTGCAGAAAGAACTTTCTGAAAACTAGAATCATTACTTTTTTTTGCTGCCTCCAAAAACACACAACAGCCCACGAGGGGGTTGAAAATGCGTTAAAGGATGAAAAACCTATCGGTAGAAAGAGGTTTGTTGTTTCCATTTCAACCAATGAATGGGTGACTCCCTTAAAATCATAAAAACTGTATTAAAGTGAACTCTCTTTAGGAAGGACACCTTTTAACGGGACAGGAGACGTTTTAACTAGGTGACTTTTTTAATTAAACGCGCAAGAGGAAGATGTTCCAAGGGTGTGGATCTTTTACGAGTAGAATTTAAGTATACAGTATGGGGCCAAGGAATTATAAAGTGAAACCACGAATGGTGGGAGGGGATGTGTGTGTTGGGGGGGGGGAGAGTGGGGTGAAGGAAACGTAATTGCCACCAAAAAAGTTCGACAGCCTTTTCCGAACCAAAGTTGGGACCTCCCCCCCAATCAAAAATTCCTGGATCCCCCCTGAGTGTCAGTTATAGCGGAGTGTCTTACTTATAGAGGAGTTCGTAAAACAAACTGCTTTATATAGGGCAGAGCAAGTCTTTCCTAAAAACATAAACGCCTCGGCTAGGTAGGTAGATACTAAAACACATTTGAGAGAACTAGTCATCATTTCATTCGTATTGAGTTTGTTTTGTTATAAATTCCTTTATCAGCGACTTCCAATGGAACTAGTGCATCCCTTTTCAATCTCGAAGGAGGGCGCTGTGTGTCTTCTAACATGAAGCTAGCAATGTACGTTTGCAGTGGCCCCTCAGGTCAGAACATAGTTAGTAAATGTATCGTGTCTACAGTGAACTGTCACAAATGTTTCTTTGGTACGCTAACTAAGATACGATGTAATAACTTTTTCTTTCACTAAGTGTCAATCGTTTGCAGCCAAGGACCTCTTGGCCTACAAAACGTCCTTATTTATGATCACTCAGCTTGTTTACCCATCCATCCACCAGGCCATTTATATTAATTTGTCGGGTATTACTAGTGAGATTGAGTGTTCCCTTTTGTCATCGTCAAAGGTCTCCATTCGTATAGGAGAATTGTTATTGTTTATTTTTTACTTTTTTACTACTTTTATAAAACATTGCATTATACAGATTAATTTTTTTAGGAAAATCATCATGTAAACTTTGTTTTTCCATTGAAATAATTCTAAGTGTGAGTAAATGAAAGATTGTTAAAGTTATTGTTGTTATTATTGTTATTGCTACGTAGACAAAGATACACCTAAGCCTTAATACTCTCTATATACTGTTTGCAGATCCACATTGCACTGGAACTGAGACTATTCAGCCATCTCCTTCAGTCTGTCCAGTTCTGCCTACAACTGACAGTAGCGGCAGCACCACCAGCAGCAGAAGCTGGGGTAGCACAACTACCACCAGCATCAGTAGCAGTAGTACCAGCAACAGCGGTAGCACCATTACGAGAAGCAGTAGCAGTAGCAGTAGCAGTGGTATCAGCAGTGGTAGCACCATTACCACTAGCAGCAGTAGCAGCAGCAGTACCAGCAGCAGTAGTACCAGCAGCAGTAGCAGTCGCAACAGCATTAGTAGTAGCAGCAGCATCAGCAGCAGTAACGTCTTAAGCCCAACAAGCACAATGCTTCCTTTGCCATGTTCAGGTATCTTCACTCTCACTTTCTTTTCTTCTCTTTTCTTTTCTTTTCTTCACATTACGGTTCTTCATATTATTTGAGGGGAATCTTTTTGCTATTAAACGTACCATGACAGAGATTGGAAGATTTTAGTTTCCTTTGACTTAAGACCAGTTGTTCCCATTCTATATTTTGATATGACGTTTGGACAAAGGGGTTCCGCTGAGGCTTTGAAACCAAGTCCTCTAGCACAATTTACCATTTCCTTAAGAGACCTTTGGACCTCGTTTAGGACTGGCCGACATTAAATTGAATTCTCTGTGTGATGTGAGCTGTCCGATTTCTGAGTCCGTTTAGGGCTAACTCACGTAAGATTGCAAAACGTATTCTGTGTCATGTATGATGTCCGATGTCTGACTCGTTTAGGACTAGCCCACATATAATCGTATTCTCGGGTCGATGTGTGATGCCCGTTCCTGGCAATTTCCGATGTGTGACTCCTCGAAGCAATAGCCGATATAAAATTGTATTTTCCGTTCAAAATAGATAAATCTCCAAACAGGCCAAAAAAATATGTGTCCCTTCTCTTCCCTTCACCGAAATTCCAGTGTCCATCCAGGTGTCAACCCCTCACTCCCTCAATTCGAAAGCTGCCCCCTGGTTATACAAATTGTAAACACAGGGCAAAAAACATGAACTGAACTTCGTTATCACTTTGCCTTTTGCCTAACAGCATCCATTCCGGACTCATACATGAACGTGAAATCAGGAATACCAGGTAAGAAAAAACTTACAGTCGTAGATTTCTGTTCTATCTTTCCTTATCCTTACTAATTTCACACTAGTATCGAGTAGTCAACACTGGTTACTGGATGCGCTGATTGCTTCATACGGTTCGACAGTTTAAGTTTCATGGAGGTAAAAATGACAACTACTCAATCTCTGACGACGTTGCACTGGGGATTACTTATATGCGCTATACAGCTATGCGCTCAAACAGGGACGGACCCAAGTCAGTTTTTTAAGAGGAGGTGGGTATGATCTCAGGCTAAGAGGAGGTGGGTAAAACCAATCGGCCAGGAAACAAAAGGTTTAGTTTAATTTGTCCTATTGAGTTCCTAAAACACTGCAATTGAGAAATGATAAGTACGAACCCGTAACAACGAACATTCTTACAACCTTACAAAATAGAAGAAATACATTACAACCCTAAAACCGTGTACTCTTACTACTGAGTACACGCTATCACGCACTGACATGAAAAAAAGGTGCAAACGTTAAAATTTTCTAACAGCAAGTTATTAGACTAAAAAGAAGGTTGAATATCCACCGATTCAACCTCCTGTGTATCCCCCCTGGCAAATAAAAGTATAATTTTTTGACCCCCTTTTGGCCTGAAATTAGATGTCCGATGTCCGATTTTGATGTCAGATGTCTGATGTCGTATGTCAGATGTCTGATGTCTGAAGTCTGATGTCTAATGTCCAATGTCCGATGTCCTATGTCTATCTGTCTAATGTCTGATGTCTGACATCCGATGTCCCATATCCAATGTCCACTGTGTGATGTCCGATGTGTGATGTCTTATGTCTGATGTCTGTTGTCCGATGTCTGATGTCTGATGTCCGATATCTGATATCCGGTGTCCAATGTCTGATACCGGTGTCTGACGTCGATATCTGATTCAAATTTCAGTCCGAAAAGCCACAAGGAACAACTGATATTTCCAGGGTTAGTGAAGCATTGAATTAAGTAACTCTCAATAAGTTTATGTCCCTTTTAGTGAATTGTCCGTCTGTTAGAGGCTCTTATTAAGTAAACTGTAAAGTAGATTTTAGGAAATTTATTCGTAGAATTCTTGGGGACTAATGTGCTGAGCAAAGATTTTAAATAATTCGAATAGTTGCCTATTTTTTGTGGTTTTAATATAAATTTATATCCCCTATTTCCATATGAAAAAGAAGAAATTAGAGAATCGTAAAAATATAATAGTAAAAATATTATAATCTGACTTTCCCCTTTATGTTTTTATTCTTGCTTCCAAAGTACTTAAAAACTGCAAGGAGCTTCTAGATGCAAATTACGTGGAGAGTGGCAGCTATCGTGTCGATCCTACACCCGACCTTGCGCAGGAAAACGATGAAATGGGTCCCTTTCGCGCATACTGCGACCAAGAGACCGCTGGCGGCGGTTGGACTGTCATAATGCGTCGATTCGACGGATTTGTGAACTTTTTTCGAAAATACCTCACCTATGTGGAAGGATTCGGAAGTATATCTGGTGAATTTTGGATTGGACTGAAAAAGTTATGGCAACTTTGCGGACAATTTCCCGTCAATCTCAGGGTCGATTTTGAAGCTGAGGACGGCGTACTTACCTATGCGGAGTACAGTGGTTGTTCGATAGGCGATTGGACTACGAAATACAAGCTTATTGTTGGACAATTTATTGGTAAGAGGATTGTAAAATAAGTACCACTAGAGCATTGTCCTTGGATCACGGGATGCACTAGGGATTTTAGGTTTCTGGAAAAACTGCCCACCTACCCCTCCCCTAAGCAAACATTAACACTTATTTCTATGTAAGGTCAAATTGTTGGTTTAGGGGAGGGGTAGGTTGGCAGTTTCCAAGAAACCTAAATTGAGCCATGTACTTTTCCAATTTTTTAAGGGATATTTTAGTGGCTCCTGCAGCAATTCAATATTTTTATGTCTGAAAGGGCGTCATTCTTCTCATATTCTGGGGAGGGGTGTGCAGATAGATTAAAGCATTCTTAGAAATTATCAGTGATAGGCATTACCCAGTTTTCCTTATTTTTTACTCCGGTGCTAAGACGCTTCCAGTTAGGAGTAGAATCGGGACTTCACTCCCATTTTTTAAATACGTTGTCTATTATCGGACAAAAACAGCTCAGGTGCTAACGGGGAAATCTTTGGTGGATCTTCCGAAAATTTTCATTATGTAATGTATTGCAATGTAATGTAACATAACGCGATGTTACATAATGTCATGTCATGTCATGTAACGTCGTGTAACATCATGTAATGTAATGTTTTATTCCCGGACGGGGCACTCCGCATATGAAAGGGGTGGGGATGCTCATCGGAAATTTTGAATTAAACTCCTAAAGAAGACCTATCTGGGCGTGGCCCAAGCTTTTTTTGAACCCCTAAATGAGACCATGTTAAAACACAGACAATATAGATATTTATATATTTTTCAGCGTGGAACCCTAAACGAGACCTTCCCGGCTAAATATGATGGCGTTTTGCCCCTAAGTGAGCCCAAAATCCGAAATTTATACTCCTAAGCGAGACGACGGGCATCCCCACCCCTTTAATATGCGGAGTCCCCCCCGGGGTTTTACTGTCAGTAATAGACATGAAGCTGTACGTAAATGATTTTTCAGGGGGTGGTGCAGGAGATGCGTTGTCAGCCCTTAATAATGTCAAGTTTGCGGCTCATGACAAACCTAATAATATAGGCTGCTTTTCACAATTACGAGGTGCTTGGTGGGTTAGCAGTTGCGATCAAGACGCGTTTCCAACCGGAAGAGATGCGAATGGTAACTATACGATTCGCTGGGGTACTTGGAATGGTGCTAATCTGACCAAGGTGGAAATAAAGGTAAAGCCAACATAACAGTCAAAGAAATACAGAGAACATCTTCAATTCGCATGTTCGGATGCCCTAGGGATCACTGTTAAGTCTAGCAGTCCGCCTGGATGGAGAGATGAATGGATTTACCCTGCTCCCTGTTTGCCGTCTTCCCAGGCCTTCTCGGTCAATGGCCACGAAATATCTCAGAATAGTGAGGCATGGGTACTAGGCAAGAGTAGTTGCCGGCAAACGAGTAAAAATCGACCATTTATATCTGAGAAAAAGATTCTTTATTCCCATCACGATTTTCATGCCCTATCACGGAGAGCTGGCTCGACTTAACTCAATGACGTTGAGAGATTTTGAGTTACGTTTAGGACAAACGCCAGACGGCAGACTCAAGTTAAGGAATTCTCCCCCCGGGAGTCTTCCAGGGGAATTCTCAAAATTGAATATGGCAGCTAAAACAGTCTAAAACAATTCTTATGTATAAAAATAATGTGAAACTACATATTTTTCAGTGTGGACGTAAAGAAAGGTTAAAGATAAGTTAAGGGAAAACTTGGTCACTCGGCACAAATTCACGTTTGCCATTTGCCGTAAACCGATGCAAATTGAACTGAAAGACTTAGAGTGAGATTCCAAATAAAAATAACCAACCTCTTCTCTGTTTTGTGCCATTTACTGTCTTCTAGCTTCTAAAGCAATTTGAATTGGGAGCAGATCATAATTAAAACTCGCCATAAAGACTCTGCGGGTAAACCCCTTTGGAAAAATTCAAACTTGGAGACTACCGTATTTCCTCGAATAATAGCCAGGGTCGATTATTCGAGGGAGGCGATTATTTCAACTTTTGCTCACTGGAAGTCGTGCCCTAAATATTTTGTTTATTTTCCCCAGTAAATCAAACATTAATCACATCAAATAAACTGAACATGGGCTTTTTAAGTGTTCCAAATTTAATTCCTTGATTAATTTTCAGAGCTTGAATCGTCACTGACCAGTTTTGCTGGATCACATTGCACTTCAAGTTGACAAGGAGGTTAGAAAAGGAAGAGAAGATGGAGAAAGGGTTGGGGGGGGGGGCGATTATTCGAGGGAGGCGATTATTATTTCCGTTAAAGGAAATTCGAGGGAGGTGATTAATCGGTGATTAATCGATTGAGGTGATTAATCGAGGGACCGCTATTATTCGAGGAAATACGGTATATCCAAGCGATATTTTTTCATCTAGAAATGCTTCTTTCCATTTGAAACGTATCTAAACATTCTTCTATACCTATTTGCCCAAAAACAAACAATGAAAAAATTCAAGAGTTTTGACCAAAATCAAGGGCTAACCTCTCGCAAAAATTCAAATTTAGCAACTACATAAAATCGCTGAAATCTTTATAGTCTAGAAAGGCTCCTTCCTATATAAAACATCTATGTATATTACACCCGTAAAACAAGCAATGAAAAAACTCAACGTTTTCGACCAAAATTGTCTACCCCTCAAATACCCTTGATAGAATCCTACGTCAAAGAAATGCCGATTAATATTGACCGTCAAAAAGTACCAAGGTATCTCAAACCTCACTATTTCAGCTGATCTTCACGGGCGTCAGGCTCCCGCAGAATCTCTAAACTGGAAAACTCAGTTCCCACGTTCTCAAAAACACACTCAACTTGCTTTATATTTGAAAATACAGTATTTCGAAATTTTCGTAGCAAAAGGCCAGGACAACCTCCAAAACACAAAGGTTAATATTAACTTAAAGTAGACAAATTAAATTCTGCAAGCATAACACTGCAATGCTGATCGTACTACGTGAAAATTAACTCTGCAAGACATCAACACGACACCGAAAGAACTCAAAACAGAGCGGGATTGTAGCCATAGACAGCTGTTGATATTTTCTTAAACTCTGAAACTAAATTTCCACTTAATAATCGTCAACCGTCAAAAGCTCTAAAATTTTAAAATCGTCTCCCGTGAAATTGGAAAAAATTAACCCTTAACCGTCAAAGCTACCACCCTCCATCGAGACCCTCAACCCCTCCCCTCCCCTCGACTAACTCTATGCTGCCTCGACCTCCTGCAGGAAGTTAAGGCTGAGCTGCCGCAGCCTCCTCCTCAGGCGCTTCGTTTTTAGCACGGCAGAGGCGAGCGCGAAACGAGTGACTGGTGATGAACCGCAAGGAACCATGGGAAGGGTCATTCCTTCCCGCCTTCCTTTGCGCGCACATTTTCATCAAAAGAGAGACGTCTGGGTACGAGGCCAGAGCTGCCGCACATGTGAGCTACATTTTTTCAGATTTAGGACAAGAACGGATAAGAAGACATCATCATTCACTGATTCTTGTTTTTTTTCGCCTATCAAACGGTAAGAATGCACACGGAATCTGTTGCCGAACGTTTTGAAAGTATTTTGCTGGATGGACTGAGTTTTAATTGCATTTTCCCCGCGAAATTTGATTTTGACAGATATCTGACAGTGACAGGTAAAGAAAACTCCATTCGTGAAGCACCAGAAGCCCAGCGAGGTAAGCCTTTATACACTGGTTGTCTTAACACTAGGCTGTTAAGTAAGACGTAAGAGCTGCTAAGTTTTACTTAACCAAAAATGCGTGTGTGAAGGCCTAAGTAAAATCGCAAGTAACTTTACTTTGCATCTCATTAAAGTCGGAACGTTGAAACGGTTCAAGAGAGTTTCAAGTGACTTGAAAACCATTCTTAAAACCGACTTAGCGAACTTGCGCTTTCTAAGCTTTGAGAAGAGCGAAGCATGTCAATCAATCTTAATTATGTTGCGTGGGAAAATAGGCTTAAGTAAACCTGAAGTAAAAAATATAAGTTATGTGTGAAGCTTTTTTTTACTTGAAGAATTTAAAATTTACTTGTCTTGAAATATTTCGTAGCTTATTTAGGCTCTAGTGTAAAGACTACCACTGTTAGGTAGTGAAACCTATAAATATGAGCTTTTCATTACGACCATG